ATTCGTACGGTTCAGCTTCGCCGGAGTTCCTTCGATTTTCGGTTCTCTCTCCTTTTTCCTCACCGTTTTTGTTTCTTTGCAGGTTCTTTCAAGGTTGCTGAAGATCGGGGACGTGATTTGTGGCATCCCAGCCCTCGGCCACCCTTTGTGGGTCGTGTGCGAGTGAAAACTCCGACATTCGCCGAAGTTTTCGACTCTGCCAACGACCATCATTTTTTTTTTCCGGTTCCGTTACATTTAAATTTTGAAATCCCATTTATTAGTGTTTTAACTAAAATCAAAGTTTCTAGCTTAACAAAAATCTTCTTATATAGCTTAGAACATTTAGTTCCCATCATGGAAGAATGTAGTCTTTTGACACGTATTCTTCTAACATGCAAATCAATCTACTGAATTTAGCATTCTAATTATGCACTCAAGCTATTTAAAATGATCATACTTCCCCTATCATGTACGCTTGATAGTGAAGGTGGTAAAGCGTACACTTTTTCTAGCTTTACCACCTTCACTATCAAGCGTACATGATGTATTTCATGTGTCCATGTTAAGGAAATATATTGCAGACCCTACGCACGTAATAGACTACAAACCTCTCCAAATCGAGGAAGATTTAAGTTATCAGGAGAAACCGATTAAAATCCTAGCTCGAGAAGTGAAAGCCTTACGTAATAGATGTTAGGGTCGCACAACAACGCACACACTCAATCTAGATGAACACAAAGAACAGGATAGAGAAAATTGCAAGGAGAACTCTAGCTAAAAGAATTTGTATTGATGAATATGTATAAGAGAGAATACAGAGAATAGAAAAAGTACATTTTCAAAACTCTACGGGACGGGATATATATATAGTTCAGTTTACCATATATAGCTTTACCAGATTTAACCATCTACTATATATAGCTATTTACTATATATAGCTTTACCAGATTTAACCATATACTATATATAACTATTTATCATATATAGCTTTACCGGATATAGCTTTACCAAATATAGCTTTACCGCATATAGCCGTTGACTAAGCTATAAATAATAGAGCAGACTTCATAACCTAACAATTCTTCCACTTGGAGACTGATCCAGTCAACCAAGAATTTCATTCTCAAACGATCACTCCACTATACCAATTTAGGCTTTGATAACCTTAATTTTCCAACATCAACACATTTTGTCAACATGTCTACTGGATTCTTTGACCCTCTATCTTCTCCAAACACATATCGCTTTCTTCCACTAACCTGCGAGTGAAATGGTATCGCCTTCTAATGTGTTTTGTCCTTCAATGATAGACTGGGTTTTTCACCAACTTTATGGCACTCTGACTATCTGTATAAAGGATCTTCTTGCACTGCTTCCTGCCTAATTCTTCTAGATAGTCTGTCATATCATCTCCTTTCCAGCTTCAGCTATTGCCACGTACTCGGCTTCAGTAGATGAAAGGGCAACGCATTTCTGAAGCTTGGACATCCAACTCACTGCTGTTCCATCTATAGTGTAGATATATCCATATGTGCTCTTGCTAGAGTCTACATCTCCACTCAGATCAACATCCACAAAACCTTGCAGAACTACTTTGCCATTTGCCATAACAAAGTGAAGTATTGGATGTACCTCTCAGATATCTCAGAAGCCACTTCACAGCTTCCCAATGTTCTTTCCCTAGATTTCCCATGTACTTGCTAACAACTCCCACTGCATGTGTTATGTCAAGTCTAGTGCAGACCATAGCATACATCAAACTCCCAACTGCGGAAGCGTACGGAACTGATGCCATGTGCTCACGTTCCTCAACTGTCTTGGGAGATTGCCCTTTTGACAATTTAATATGATTTGCCAAGGGGGTAATCCTAGGTTTAGCGTCATTCATCTTGAATTTGGACAAAACCTTCTCAATGTACTGCTCTTGGGATAGATTTAATGTGCCAGTAGATCTATCTCGAGAAATCCTCATCCCAAGAATTTGCTTCGCTGCACCCAAATCTTTCATCTCAAATACTGAAGACAAGCTTGCCTTCAAGTGGTTTATCTCCCTCATACATGATCCAGCAATTAGTATATCATCCACATACAGGAGTAGAAACACATAAGAATCAGTGTATTTCTTGAGGTAGCAACACTGATCCTTTTCACTCCTGTGGAAACCACTCTTGCACATGAAGAAGTCAAACTTCTTGTACCATTGTCTCGGTGCTTGTTTCAATCCATACAAGCTCTTATTGAGCTTACACACCATGTGCTCCTTGCTTGGAGCTGTAAACCCTTCTGGTTGTTGCGTATAGATCTCCTCATCTAGATCTCCATGTAAAAACGCCGTTTTTACATCCATTTACTCAAGGTGTAAATTCTCCGATGCAACAATACTCAGCAGAATTCGGATAGTAGCTAATTTCACAATTGGAGAAAAGATCTCAGCATAATCAATGTCTTTTCTTTGTGAATATCCTTTAGCTACTAACCGAGCCTTAAACCTTCTTCTGCCATCTGGTTCAACCTTGATTCTGAACACCCATTTGTTCAACAGAGCTCTCTTTCCTGTAGGCAACTCATTCAGCACCCACGTATTATTCTTTTCAAGTGAGCTCATCAAAGGACTCTAGTTCTCCTTCGTTAGTCAGCAACAGATAATGTAATGAGGCTGAATATCTATCTGGTGCTCTGATAGTTCTGGATGATCTCCACCTTCACTTGCTCAGGTGTAACTTGCTCCACTTCTGGTTCTTCAGCAATAGGATTAGGAGTTTCTTGAGCTTCTGTTGTAACATCACTGCGTGAATTTTCCTACCACTCAAGTTTAACTCCCACTTGCTTCGTAGTCTCAGAGTTTATCTTCTCTCTGTTCTTGTACATGACATTTTCATCAAAGGTCACATCGCAATGTCTTAGGATTTTCATATTTTTCTCATCCCAAAACCTGTACCCGAACATGTCAGAGCCATAGCCTATGAAGTAGCATTTCACAGCCTTAGCTCAAGTTTATCTCTCTTCTCTGGATCAACATGAACATATGCAGTACAACCAAAAGTTCTCAAGTGAGAGTACTTGAGTTCTTTTCCTATCCATACTTCTTCGAGAAATTTGAACTTCAAGGGCACTGACGGCTCTCTATTAATCAAATATGCTACTGTGTTCACAGCATCAGCCCAGAATGTCTTTGGTAGTCCAGAATGAATCCTCATGCTTCTTGCTCGCTCATTCAATGTTCTGTTCATCTTTCTGCAATACCATTTTGTCTTGCCCTACCGGAAATTTTTCTTATTAATCTAATTCCTTCAGCTGCAAAAAATGTTATAAACTTCGATTTGTTGTACTCTCCTCCATTGTCAGACCTCAGGCATTTGATCTTCAAGCCGGTCTGATTTTCAACTTCAGATTTCCACTTCTTGAAGGTGGTAAACACATCTGACTTGTGTTTCAGAAAGTAAATCCATACCTTCCTGCTGAAGTCATCGATGAAGGTGACGTAGTACCTTGATCCACCAAGTGATGAAACTGGAGATGGTCCCCGACGTCTATATGGATCATTTCCAACCGCACTTTCTTCGGTTCCCCGGCAGCCTTTGTGAAACTAAGACGTTTCTGTTTGCCCATAACACAGCTCTCACAAAGACCCATATCAACAGATTTTAAGCCTTCTAAAGCTCCTTTCGCAGTCAGCATCTTCATTCCTTTGATGCTCATATGTCTAAGTCTATTGTGCCATAGACTTGAATTGGAAGCACTCTTAGCAACAGCAGTCATGTTTATACACTCTACAGTAGTGTATAAGGTTCCGGATTTTGTGCCACGTGCAACAACCATGGTGCCCTTCAAAATCTTCCACGAACTTTTTCCAAACTCTGTTGCATAGCCTGTGCTATCCAACTAACCAATAGAGATCAGGTTCTTCTTGAGACCAGGAATGTTTCTGACATCTTGTAATGTCCACTGATTTCCTGCTGGAGTTTGTATGGAGACATCTCCCTTCCCTTCAATCTCCAAGGTTTTGTTGTCACCACGATACACCTTCCCGAAATTTCCTGATTTGAAATTTCGAAATAATTCCTTACTTGGAGACGAATGGAACGATGCACCTGAATTCAAAATCCAGGAATCAGCTGGGCTGTCCACACTAAGGATTAAAACGTTCTCAGTATCATCTGTTGTATATATAGAATCATCATCATCTTTAGATTTATGATTCTGCTTCTTCTTCAGTTTTGTACAATCTGTTCAAAAGTGTCATTTTCTCCCACAGCTCCAACATGTTACGTTGGGTTTGTTTGGAGATTTTTCCCGGTTCTTTGATTTTGATCGCCCATGTTTGTTTGAGCTCTTTGATTTACTTCTTCCCCGTCAATCAACACTGAGAGCATTGCTTGATGAATCTCCAATTTCTCGTTTGCGAATACTTTCACTGAGAACTACATCTCGAATTTCATCAAACTTCAGTTTATCAGATCCTCGGGAACTGCTGATTGCGGCAACAACAATATCCCATGACTCGGGTAAAGATGACATCAAAATCAATGCTTTAATTTCATCTTCGAAATTAATTTCCACCGAATTTAGTTGACTTACGACCATATAGAATTCATTTATATGATCAGCAACAGATCCATCTTCAGACATCTGTAGATTGAACAATCTCCGCATCAAATACACCTTTTTCATAGTTGACGGTTTTTCATACATATTTGACAGCGCCTTCAATACATCTGACGTTGTCTTCTCCTTGATAATATTGAGAATGCCATGTTTCTGGATAGCGTCAACCGGATTAGCCCCAAGGCTTGTCGATCCTTGAGCTTCCACTATTTCGTGGTCATGGTATCCGGCTTCACCCCCAATAGAGGTTCGTGAAGATCTTTCTGGTACAGANTCCTTCAGTTGTTGTTTCCCTTCCCTGCGAGCAACTTGAGGAAATTTCAAAAAATTCTTTGCCAAGTGTCTCAAATGTATGTAAGAAGCCGCAAAGGGGAGAAGATTTCAGCATCTTGCAAGCTCTTTTAAGCAAAGATATGGCTCTTATTTTCATAGCAACGGTTTCTGCATGTGGGTCGTCCGTTGCAGCCATTGATAATCTTGGGCAGATCGCCGAGTCACTTAAATATCCAAATCATTCAATAGGTATTTTGGTTTCATGGATTTCCATATTCAATTTCTTTGGTCGGGTCTTCTCCGGTTTCATCTCTGAAACCCTTATGACCAAATACAAATTACCTCGTCCTTTCATGTTCGGTCTTACCCAACTTTTCACCAGCACTGGCTTGCTCTCCATTGCATTCCCTTATATAAATTCAGTGTATGTAGCTTCGTTGATCATTGGGTTTGGCCTTGGAGCCCAAACTCCGTTGATATTCGCCATAATCTCTGATCTTTTCGGCCTCAAACATTACTCGACACTGCTCAACTGTGGGCAACTGGCTGTCCCACTTGGATCTTACATAATGAACGTGGAAGTAATAGGGAGGTTTTACGATGCAGAAGCCACTAAAATTGGAAATGTGAAGAACGGGAAGGGCCTAACTTGCACTGGAACTCATTGCTTTAGTGAATCGTTCATGATTTTGGCTGCAGTGACTTTGTTTGGAGCGATGGCTTCGTTTGTGCTAGCTTATAGAACTCGAGACTTCTACAAAGGCGATGTATATAAGAAATACAAAGATGACATGGAGGCTACGCAGTCGAACGTGGAATTAAATTCCTTCGATGACAAAAACAATGAACACAAAAAGAAAATTGATGATCAAAGTAAATAAGAGAAAGTGCTCAACAAAAACATACCTACTTTCTACTTTCCTTTTAACCTTTTTGATTTTGTGTGGTAGATGTTTCATTCTTTTGAAAGGATTGTTTGAAAACGTGACCATTTATAAATAATTATCAAGAACAATTGCATGACTACAAACTAAGCATAAATGCAACTATCGTGTCACTAGTTTCATATCTCACACGGTTTTCATTCACCTAAATACTTTACTTTTACTTGAAATAAAAGAGTAAACTCATGAATGGAGTATTTGAAGAAATAATACCTAAGTTAAAAACATATTAGACAACTAATTAGAAAACATGAAAATAAACTTTATTATATAAAGAGTGTGATCTCATGATTCTCATCATAAAAATTTGAATATTCAAAAGAATAAGTAGTAGGTTGTCTTCCATTAATCAATTTTTTATCATCATGCGCATTGAAATTTTAATTTTTTTTTTCTTTAGAAAAATCTTATTTTATGTTATTATATTTTTTTTTGGGTTAAATTAATTTTAAAAAAAATACCCTAAAGCTTATATTTTATCTAAAAAAAACTACCCATCAAATTTAAAAAATAGCATTAGCTACTAATTATTATCTAGCCTTCTTCATAGATCATTTTTTAATATATTTTTAGGGAAAAAAAACTATTTTTATTAATTTGTAAAAGGGAATGAATATTGAGAAAGGATTGGAAGAAAAATTGAGGAAGAAAAATTGAGGAACGATAGATATGGCCGACAAGCTAGTTAATAAATGTGCAAACAACTACAAGAAGATAAGCTATATCAATAAGGTGACTCAGTATCTCACTAGCTTTCCTAAAATTGTAGGTATAGGGTAAAAAATACGTTCCATTATTTGTTAATTTTCTGAATCATTTAATAGCCATTTCTAAAATTAATCATTTATAGCACTTTCTAAAATTATTATTAAATGAAACTAACCAGTTTCCATGCAAAACTCTAGGCCAGAGGGTTTTTTAACCTCGTATAATGAAGAGTTCTATGTTGCATTTGGGAAGGATGAATCGCTCCCGAAAATGAATCTATTGATTCTCTTCCAGCTGGTTGGACCGTAGGTAGGATGATTTACTTCACGGGCGAGGTCTCTAGTTAAGTGGATGTTTTTAGATTTTTTTTTTTTTTTTTTTTTTTTTTTTGAAGTTATTATTGAAATTTGAGACTAACTATAATGATAATTTTATTAATTTAGTACTAATTTTAATTTAATTTACATTCGACAAACAAATTTTTTTAGTTTTATATTGCAAATACTCTTACAATAAACTACAACAAAAAAAAATGCTTAAAACTACACCAAACCATACTTAAAAATCTTTTTATATAAAAAAAAACAAAAAAAAAGGACGGATTCTTAGTTCTAAGTGTTGGGCCGGCCCATCGGAACAAAAGCCCATTTAAAAGAATCTCACTTGGATTCCACAGCGGCAGCCTCTCCCACACTCGTCTCCTGCTTCACTTCCTCTCTGAACCTCTTGTAAATATCTCCTCTGTAAAACTCCCTCGTCCTCATCACCAAAACCAGCGAAACCAGAGCCCCAACAAACGTCACAATCGCCATTAACGTAAACGATTTCCTGTAACACTGCTTCCCAATGCAGGTCAATTCCTTCACCGCCGCCCTGTCCATTCCCATCTCCTTCAGCTGCTTCAACGCCTCCGCATCGTACATCATTCCGGCGACCTTCACGTTCAGAATATACGACCCCAACGGGCTTGCGATTTGGCCGCAATTGAACAGAGTGGAGAAATATTTAAGCCCGAAGAGCTCGGAAATTATGGCGAAAAGTAACGGAAGCTGCGCGCCGAAGGAGAATCCGATGATGATCGATGCAATGTAGACGGAGCCGGGAATTGGGAAGGCGATTAGGAGTTGGCCGATGCAAGATAGAAGAAGAACCAATGTCATCATTAAAGGTCTTGGGAATTTGAATTTTGCGAGAAGGGTTTCAGAGACGAAGCCGGAGAATACTCTGCCGAAGTAATTCCATATGCTTACTAATGAAACGAAGGATTTTACTGTTTTTAATGGGTAGCCGAGGGATTCTCCGATCTGCCCCAAATTGTCGACGGCGGTTAAGCTTGTGCCGAGGCCGCAGAATGTCGCGATGAAAAGCACCATCATGTCGATGCTGAGAAGGGCTTGGAGTATTGTGTAGTCGTCGCCTCTTGCTGGTTTGTTGCAGATGCTGGAGAAACAGGACGGCGGCGGTGGGTATGGTTTTGGGTCTGGATTGTTCTTGATTTCCTTTGATTCTTCTATGGAAATTTTGGGTTCTATTGGGTTTTCGATTGGAATTGGTGGGTTGATCTTGGAATTCCAAATATGAAGCTCTTCTCTGATCACGATGAACAGAGGAAGGAAAAGCAGAGCACAAATTACGGTGGCGCTTAACGCATAAGCCGTATGATTAAATTCCACTTTCTTCTGAATAATATTCATAAGCATAATGAAAATCGCCAACCCAATTGAGATATAAAGAAAATGGTAAAAAACCCTTGTCTCGTTTGGCTGTCTCTCCGCCTTGAGCTTTCGGATATTGAAAATGAACACGACGGAGAGAGCCGCCGGAAGCCACGCAATTAGAAGGATCAACGCGGTGGCATCCTCGCCGTAAACGGCTAAATAAATCTCTGTAAGAATAGCGCCGCTCAGCCCTGTGAAGCCCTTTAAAAGGCCCATCATAGCGCCACGGCTCTCGGGGAAATTCTGGATGCAAGTGACCAACGCGCCGGTATTAGCGAAGTTTTGAGAATTTGCGCCAACGCAGATATAAAGACACATTTGCCAGACTTTGGGCTTTGTGATCCGGCCAGTGACGGCGAGCCAGATCATGAAGTAGCCGGTGAAATTCAAGACGGAGCCGAGGAGGAGGACGAACCATGTCGGTGTCACCTCCGCCACTAAGCCGGAGAGTACACCGACATTGGCTCCGAGATCCTTGAAAAAACCCATCAGATTTAGTGTCGTCTGGTCGTATCCGAGCGTGGATTTGATCTGTTTCGAGTAGACGCCGAAGAGATAAGTGGCGCCGGCGCCGGCCATGATCAGAAATGTGGCGAAGACAGTGAACCACCGGCCTTTTAAGACGTGCAGCGCGAATTGGAGCAATCCGCCGCCCCGGGCGGCGTCGGGTCCCCTGTTCGTGGGTGTTTCTGCACCCATTTGTGGATCTATGAACTGGGTTTTCTTGTTTTTGATTTGGGCGGAATTTTCTAAGAAATGATTGAAGTTTTGGTGGAGAAAAGGGAAAAAGGGAGATTAAATAGTTTGAGTTTTAGTTTAAATTTCAATCTAAATTGCTTTATTTGGAGTGGATTAAGCGGAGATTTAATGGATTTTGTTTTGGTAGTTACCTTGTGCATAGGGATTACTGTTAACTCAATCAATTCATCTTTAAATATAAATTAACATCTCAACATGATCCCTTTTTTTTTTTACTTTCTTTTTTTCTTTAAAATTCTCATGTGTCGTGTTTATTGAACTATGGACTGTGGGGGCCGATTCAAGTCGAGAGGTTGAAAAAACAAGTCTTGGGTGTCGGTTCAAGTCGAGAGGTTGAAAAAATCCAAATATAAAAAGTTGGGGCCAAGTAGATTGTACTTATTGAATTATGCTCAAGTAGACAGTTGGAAAAGTTAAAGTCCGGTCAGGTAACTCAAGCTCACTGCTAGCAGATATTGTCCTCTCTAAGCTTCTCATGTTGGGCTTTCCCTCCCTGTTTTAAAACACGCCTACTAGAGGTTTTACACTCTTATAATGCCTCTAGTCACGGTGAACTCATTTATTGTTATACATATCGATGGGTGTATGACTTCTAAAAAAAATAGAGAGAGAAAAAAAAATAGAAAATTTAAAGGGATCTGGGAGTATTCAGACTTGGATTCGACACGTGAATAGAAAAATGAAGTGAATTTGTCTTATAGTAGCACGGGTTTATGAGTATGGTTTGATTTAATTATAATATTATTTGGCTAACTTAGGAAGTGATTTTTAAATAAATAAATAAATATATTATTTATTTATATCTCCACCAGTCCAATGTATCTAATTTATTACAACTTTATTTCATTGGGTATTGCAATTCTTATTTTAAATTTAATTGTTTAATGAATTTTTTTTTTTTTTTAATAAATTTTTGTCTATTTTTAATAAATTAAATTAATTGAGTGTATTTTTATTGGAATTGGTAAGTTTTAAAGATTTTAATTGTTCTCTTGTTAGTAGAAAAATTATTAGTAATTGAATAATAATAGTAAAATAAATTTAAACTTTTAAAAAAGATCTCACTTTAATTTTAAAATCCAAAAATTAAATAAAAAAAGAAATAAAATAAATAATAAATAAAAAAGGGTGTTCTTTTTTACTTTTTAGTCCAGGAATTAAACTTAGATTATTTTATGCAAATTAGGTAAGCACAATTTTTACGGTAGAATTCTATGTTAGGATTATGCGACTTTTTTTAAAAAAAAAATTAGATTTCAAGGAACAGGTTTCAATTCGCATTAAGTGAATGTAGTTGTAAGACTTGTTGTCTATATAAACTATGTGTGTGAGTCTTAATTTTATGATTGTTTGATATATGCAAAGTTATGTTTATATTATAATGTCAGATATGATGTGATACCAGTTACGTTGTGTTGTAAGGTGTGTCATTGAATGATTATGTTATATTTATCAATATTGTATGATGCATCATACATATGTCATAAATTGATGTTATGGGATTTCATGCATGTTGTATGTCGCATATATTGGGGTACTTGCATCATACATATGTCATAAATTGATGCTTGGGGATCTCATGCATATTGTATGTTACATATATCGTGGTACTTCCCTGTTATGATGTGTACAATACGATGTCTATATTTTACCATGATATTATGGGAGCTCCTTTCCGTATGTGGTTCTAGCAATGCCAGCGTGCATTAGCTGAAGAGCAAGCTCATAGAGTAAGTATACGCCCGCCTAGTGGGTCCATGCGCGAATACGTGGGCTGTGCGTAAAAGAGTACCACAAATCTAATTTTCGCCCAAATTAGAAAGAAAAGTTCGAAATATTTTATGAAAAGATAGATCGCATCATGAATGTTTTGGTTTGCATTTCCTAACCCCAATAGTACTACTGAGTATTTTTAAATACTTAAACTACAATACTTCTTATTTTTAGATAAAATAAGGCACCCCTACCGATGACGCCATCATTGTGAAGATCACGAAACCCAAACTAGAGTAGTTGCATCCTTCGATTAGCTCATGGTATTTTTTTCATTGCTTTGACCTTATTATCCTTTCGTTTTTTTGCCTTTTTTATTAATATTTATTTTATGTGAAAATAATTTTTAAGTTAATGACATCATTTCTAATTTTGTTTTTCATAGCAAACATGACATGTATGCAATACCGACTTTATTTTTAATAAAACTAAATAAATAAATAGGATCGTTATAAATAATCAAAGGTTCCAAAAGAATACTATTACAAGACTCTTAACTCAACATTGTCCACTATCTCGAATTCCACTACACCTTTGTCACGAACCATGTGAATCATATATATATATTTTTTTAATGATGTTTTAATTCAATACCACCATTATCTTTTTACACAATCATTTCATTAAACTATTTTCCACATTCTATCAATCCCACTTTATTCAACGTAGTGATCTTTATCTCTGGTATGAACACGACTCATTTGAGCTCATCTTAATATTTGGATTTAATTTAGCAGATCTTTTCAGTTATTTCAATATTAAGTTTGAATAGAATAGCTTACGCAATCATGGTTATAATATCTAAGTTCAATTAAATTACTCCTTTAAACACAAATAGCTTATTTTAATTTTAGTTATACAAAGGTGAGTGCAACCACGTAACCGTTTTAGCCACATATCTTAAACTCATAATCTCAATCAACCGTTTGAATACGACCCTATAATTTAATTAACAATTAGGGTCTGTCCTTATAATATAATTAACCATTAGCAATTAAGTTTAAGCAGGTAACCCCACATGTTGTCGTTGGTGTATACGACCTCTAGCACAATTTTGATTTTGTTCTAAACAATTTAACAATTTACCATTTATGTTATAGCTTTATTGGGTTAATAATTAATAACCTAAAAAACTTTTTTTTTTTTTTTTTTTTTTTTTTGTAATACTTTTCAAGGCTCGATGATACAAGTTAGTCTCAATATCTTACCTAACGGAGTCATTTACATGTCATCAATATCTTAATGTGTACCAATTAACTCGTACTTTAATCATATATCAAATATAAATTTGTTAACGGTTCATAAACATGTTCGTTCTTTTAAAAGTGCTTAAAGAGACTGATCCAAAAATGGTCAACATAGACAAATCTACTCCAATTAAATCAAATGGGACCTCCAACTAAATTGAGTTGGACCGGTTCTCATGAACCACTTCTCCTACCCGAAGATTCACAAGCTCAAACTTCTTTTGTTCTCGTTTCTTTACTTCTTCCTTCGACAACTGTTTTTATCTAATTATTTACGATTTTTTCATGAACTCTATCAACAAGAAGCAACCATAATCGATAGCTAAAGAAAGAGAAAATCACCGTAAAACGTCAAATGATTTTGTTGTAAGTACAAACCATAAACAAATTTTGGCAAACCCTTTATAGAACAAACAATATCTCCGACAACTTTAGGTTTAAATTGCAATTTTCAGCCAAGAATTTATTGGGTAAATTCCTTAATAATTCTCTTCAAATTAAGAACAAATTTAATACTCCAAATCATTGTCATGCTTACCAAATCCAGACGGAAGCATGACGTGGCAAATGTTTTAACCTTTTCTCTCTCCCACGTGGGTTGTCCAATCGTGTGGCCGCTGGAATTTGGATATTTTTTAATTATCAAATCTTCCAAAAATCCAATTTTCTTTTCCTTTTTTTAATAATTTGAAATTAATGTTTTATTCGATCAAATTTAAAGTATACAGAAAATATTGGCTTGAATATGAAAAAAAAAAAATCATCTTAAAGATTATAAGCTTTTACAAATTATAGGCTTCCCTTTTTTTATCATAATTTTAGACCGACTATAAATATTTAGCACTGTTTATGACTAATTTGAAGAAAATTAAGTATTGTCGGCTAAATGGAAGAATATTGCAGGTGAAATTAGATTACGTGAAACTAAATTTATGAACATTTGGTCGAAGCAAACTCGAATTGATTAACACCTGAATGATATGTAACTTGTGACCTGTAATAATAAGTAAGTGAATGTTATGTGCTTGAATAAATGTCATATGAACCAACATTATATTTTTATTAAAAAATAAATTTTGTATAAGTGACCCAAATCGAACCAATCCAATTCAAAAAATTTATGGGTGGGTAAGTTAATTTTATTGTTTTGGTTGAAAAAATTTACAATTTGAATAATTGAATTAAGCTAACAAATGTTCGAACTCGATTTAACTCAATCAATTGTAGTGGTGTCTACGCAGGTTCTTGCTGAGACGGGGGATAAATTATTTTATTTATTTTTAATTTAAAATATCACGTCAATATAAACATCTTATATTGTTTTTTAAGACATTTTTTTACATATTTCTAAAAAATCATGAGCGGGTTCAAATAAATATAATTCTGAAAATTAGGAATAAAAAAAAAAAAAAAAAGTAAATTTTCCAAAATTTATTCATCTTCCTATTATGCCCTCATTTATATGGTAACTTGTTAACTTTTTGCTATAAAAGAAAATCAAATTAATTTTTTGGACTAAATTAAATTCAAGATATCTTTATTTTAATTATGGAAAGTTGTTTCTCAAAGTTATCAAATCAGATTCTCGCCTACCTCACTTTTTTTTTTAATTATTAAAAAAATATTAAGAGTTGACTTTCGGCGAAATTAATTCTTAGATAATTCAATTTTTAGCCATTTTTAGTAAGTGAATTAAATCACTCAATTCAATTTTTATTTTCAACTCACGACTAATATGAGCTTAAGGTTTTTTTCTTAACTCCCCAAATGTTCTTGACTAATATGTATTTCGTAATTTCTAAAATTTCTTCAGGTAGGTAATTCAGTGAAGGGGAGGACAAAATTGTCTGTACCTTTATTTTTTTAGTTAGGTTTAAGTCTGACGAGAATAATATTCTCCAACAACCGATTCATTTATTTTCAAATGGACCCATTTACCCTCTTTTGCAACCGAGCAAATTTTGGATATGGCCAGTTTCCCCTCTTTTGCAATCAATTAGTTTGCAGCGTGCAGCTTTAGCTAATTATCCCCACTTCCAGTAGATTCTAATCAATTATTGTCCAGATTCTTCTTTTTATTCTCCCCATTTCAAGTAAATTCTTCCTTTTATTCAATCAATTAGAGATTCTTCTTTTTATTCAATCAATTAGTTATATTAGGTCTCAGAGTGAAATTCTTCTTTTTATTCAATCAATTAGAGATTCTTCTTTTTATTCAATCAATTAGTTATATTAAGTTCCAAAGTTTAGCTAATTGTCCCCACTACCAGTAGATTCTCGGATAGATTCTTCTTCTTATTCAATCAATTAGTTAAATTAGATTTAAGTTCCAAAGTTTAGCTAATTGTCCCCACTACCAGTAGATTCTCGGATAGATTCTTCTTCTTATTCAATCAATTAGTTAAATTAGATTTGAGAGAATTCAATAATCCATTCTAAGATTATTAAAAAAGATTAAGAATAATTACCCAACACAACCAACTCAACCCCGCCTACTTCAGTTTCTCTTTGGAAAAGAAAACAACTAATATACAAAAGCTCACCACAAGATACGAAGTTTCCATCAATAATTTGATGCCTATGAGTTTTCTACACCATGAGAGTGAATTGACACTAGAGTTTTATCATAAAAAGACCAACAAAATATAATGAAAATATTATCAAAACATAAAAAAGTTAACAATTGGCGTAGTTTTTCTGCAAAATTAATTTGTGCAAAATGTTTTAGTACCCTCCACGGTATTTTCATATATTATAGATAAATATCCTCCCAGATGCACTATGCAGGAGGGTGCTCAACATTCTGTATGGTTTAAGCTAATCGCAGTGTGTACAAAATCCCTGGACTGAACCATAAATATAAAAGGAGTTCCTATAATTACTCTGCGAAAGCAAAATTTTTCCTAGAAGTTAAAAATGAGAACCACCGAAGAGCTCAGGCAGATTTCAACTTGGCTGAAGTTGAAGCAAGGTGGGAAAGGGTCCTGTGTCCCACAAATACCAAGAAAACTCCCAAGATGCCCAGTGCTTTCAATGTTGTAAACAGGTCCAACTGTGTAAAGAGAATGATAATTCCATAAGCAATTTTTGAAATAAAGTTTACATAAACTACCATTAATATGGCACCTACCTTTAACCAGAAGAACGTGTAAAGCAAGATAACTGCTGCAATGCCAAGATGGAAGAGAAAGGCGAAGGTGGCAGGTACTGTTGAAGTCGGGAAGTTCTTTAGATTCACGCCCATTCGCAATAGCTAACGACATATGAACAAAGGTAAGCTTGATGTGTTATCAAGGGTCGATTAATGGTGGAAACTCGATTGGTACTCCAGAAAAATCATATAAATTGAATTAAAAGAACTCACCCCAACCAGAAACACAAGGAATGGCAAGAACGTGAGACCCAAGAAGATAAGAGAAAGCTCCTTAGCTGGTCTCTTTTCTGGAGCCCTGAAGATGTGAGTGATTTCAGCTTTCGGTCCATAGCGTGTGTAAGGATCGACAGGCTGTGGAGGTGGACGAGGAGCTTTCTCTGGTGCCTCAGGTAGATCCAAGTCAATATGACCAATAGCCCGTAAGAAAGAATTCTCCTGAAGAATGGAAAAACCAGGCTACTTAATGTTTCCATAGTAAATTTTAACAAGTGAAACTAAAAGAAGAAACTGAAATTACCATGATGGCATCACCAACAGTTAACTGAATGTCATATCGACCCGAGAGATAGAAAAACTTCTCAACCAACCCAAGAAAGTCCTATTGATAAAAAAGAGTCCAGACATGAGCAAAATTATAATTTTACTTGGTTCATCAGCTTCTCAAATATAGGAACTAGTTGGCACATGTAAATGTCAACTTGAATAACAGTTATTTTACTTAACGTTTTCTATTCTCATGATCTTCAAAACGTTTATATTTTGTCCCCCATACTACTATTCAGAGGCATAAAGCTTGAACAAGTTCATTAAGAAGCTTAATTGCACCCAAAAGCAAATTGTCAGAGCCAGTTGGATGCACCAGTTGTTTTATATTTGTGCAATCACCTATGGTGAACCTCAGTTAGATTCAAAAGGAAACCTCTTTTGGACAACATATTGTGATCCACTAAGTGTATTGTGTTGCATTGTTTTTGAACAAGCAGCAGTACCATTTATAGCTCTCAATAATGGCAAAATGGCAGGATGTTGCATCAAAATAAGGAGAATGGATTCAACAAACTTAACTAGAATTATTTCAAATTTTTTGCCAGAGCCTTTAACGACAAAGGTATGCTCAACGCCACTTTCATGCCTCAGCTTGAGAAAAGCCTGCAACGAAGCAAACTTGTCAAAACAGAAAGAAAATGATGAGGGAACGATGAGACACAATTACATACCTGATGCGGCATAAAACCATGTCCTTGTGGTGTGGTCAGTTGAAATGATAGACGCAATTTCTGCAGGTGGTTTGCTGCCAATGAAATAGCACTCTCACCAACTAAATCAAGCCTGGATGAATCCAAAATGACAAATTATCTCTGTTTACTTGCACAATTAATAATATAAAAGGCAATCAAAAGCGTTCAAAGGACTCCATATTAAATCAATAACCATTTTGAAAACATAAGCAGAAAAAAAATAATAATAATGTTTACTTCTTTTGGGTCTCAATGCTCCCTAGATCGCTATCAAGAACCGCAATCTCTGCATTCTCAATTTTGACAACTCCTGAGATATATATTGGCACTTGTATCTGCCCCCCGGTGGCATAAATATCCAAATGCTCTGAATCATGAAGAGCAATCTAGAAAAGGGGTAGAGAACATTTTCAACATATCGTGGGACAAACTCTGAAACCATGTGCTAAATAAAATGATACAAAGAATTGAAGCGCACCTCAAAGACGAACACGTAGTTTCCAACATCAAAGGTCTTGGGGAAAGCATCCAAGATATGTAAACCAGTCTGAGGATAATACTTGAGTTCCTATAATTCCAGGAAAAAAAATAATAAATAATAAATAAATAATCTAAAGCTAACTTATCATTAAACAAACATTTGGATGAAATGGAAAGCTTTCAGTTGATAAAATTAAATTAGAACGAAGCAAATATGAAGAATATTAACTAACAGACCTGGCCCTCAATAACGGATGTCTCTTTCGAACCAGAGAGAAAAGCTCTTACTATCTTCACAGTTAAAGGAGGTGCAACTGAACCAAGCACAGTATTCACTCTCACCTGATAACATTTAACGTTATAATAAATCTACCAATGACTTTGTACAAAAGGCTCTTAGATGAAAAGGGAATAAAAAAGTTATCACTAGTGCAGATGGAGAGCCAATTAACAAAATGAAGATTTAATATGTAAAGGACGTTGTTTAAGAACACCAGATAAACCAACATAGACCATCTACACGCAGTGAACTCAAGCTTGAAGACATAAAAGAGCATACATGAACCAGAAGATAATTAAATTATTGCAAAACTGAGAGTACAAAGACTAAATTATTACAAACCACAGTTCAATAACAAAACTGTTACTCCCATGAAAGTTCAAAGACCAAAACTAATTTTTAACCAAATTTATAAAATTAAGTTTCATTTAGGTCTTTATTTTCTCCATTAAATCATCTTTATTCATTCCCTGATTATTTTTCATGATACAAACTTCCACTTAGAAAGTTACAAGTACAAAAAAAACCAGTAGCAAACAGCACTAACAATGCACCTCCTTTAATGCTGAACTCTTTATGCTGAATTTCATACCGATACTGTGCGTGTAAAATTACAATGAATACACCATTTCAACTATCAAGACCATAACATAGCTCTAAACCAACTTCTACATTATACTCACGATTTGAAAAAAAAAAAAAAAAAACCCAGACTGCATAAACCATTGTGAACAAACAAGTAATTACGAAAATAACTGCTAGAAGATGCTATGGTAATGAAAGTATGTTTGGTAGAAGAATGAACCTTCAGTTGGTCTTCCTTTGTTAATGAAAGAACTGTCGCTGGAAGAGATAAAATCAACGGAATAGAAACCCTGTGGCAGGAATAAAGAATTGAAATGAGAAAAACAATGCCATAATAATCTAAGAAACAAGTTTATCATGTAAAGGAGAGAGTACTCCAAGTGGTGAAACAAGAAACCCAATCCTGTTGTAAAAATTCAAATAGCCAACATCTCAGTTCAAAACAAGATGAACAATTCTCAAGGAAATTCATGAGAGGCTCCAACCATAAAAAAGAAATAAGCCTTCAATAAAAGTAATGGAGTTATAGAAACTACAACACGACAGTTTTTCCCTTCTACGTTGAAACAAATATTCAAAAAGGGCACCCCACTTAAAATGGATAGACAGAAAAGAATAACCAACTATTGAATTTTATCCGAGTAAACTAATAGTTCCAGTCTACCCCACATACTATTTAATCTTCCAATTGATATTAAGAGAATCATATAATTTCCTCTGTTTTCTTGGGAAACAATAAAAAGAAAAAAATAGTCACACAAACTCCCTTTTTTCTCCCTTTTTTTAATAAGAACTAAAATTTCATAAGGGGAAAAAAAGGTAAGAAAAGATAAGATATGGTAGCCTTGAGTTGAGGAAATCAAAAAAGTACACTCCAATCAACATTAATAAAAATAAATATAAGAAAGTAATTACAGAACTACTTTCATAATGCAATCAATGTGGAAGCTAAAAACAAAATATACCCAAAGATCAGAAGAACTCCTTTCAATCCCCTTTAACAGTTGTTTGACTTTTTCCTAACCACATTTTTCACACAGCAACCCTAAATGACATCCCCAAAAGTACAAACTTGCTTCATCAACCAAACACCGGACAAGAGTTGTTGCAAATGCAAAAAGCCATTGAAAGCTTTAGGTTTACGATCTAGCCATTCAAAATTTCTTGAATTTGTTTTTTATGAACAGTAAACAATATATATACATAACAAAATATACAAAAAATGAGGAAATAAGACATTCCAAGGCCTTAAGCAATAAATAAAAGAAGGTCTAGTCGTCACTCTCAATAAAATACTTGCCTATTTGTCTCCAAGCGAGCCAAGGAATCTATTTGGTTGAATAAGTCTTTAGCATCTCCAGGAATTCCGATGCCAAGGAAGAATTTTGCCAAACCAAAAATTGTATCCCCAGGAAGCTACAAAAGGAAACCAAATTGTTATATATTATATTATGAAACCAAATTGAAAATTTCTATCTCCACTCACATTTAAGCTTCCAGAAGTAGCAGCAGTAAATGCTGTCAACCCTCGAACAACTGAGGATGTAGTTGCAAGAGGCCCATGATGTTCATATGCATCAATAACTTTTTCCTCGAAATATAAAGCTCCATCATCTACAAGATAAAGACTTCAACAAATTACCTACTTGGAGTTGTTAGTAAAGAACAAAAACAGTTCAAATATTAAGAATGGAATGAGAAGTTTTCAATTTGGAATATCAACTTTCTCCAAATGTGCAGTAGAAACTGTAAGGAAGAGAATGTTAATGGGTTCTACAACAATTGAAATTTGAAGAAAACAGTACCAGACATAATTATCATTTTCCTTTCCATAAGACCAATTCTTCCCAACTATAATTCCTACTCTCATTTTTTCAAATTACCAGGGATGTCAAATGCTCAAATGTTTGGCGGGACCTTTGGGAGGAAAGGAACAATAGAATATTTAATGGGCTCGTGAGAACTTCAAGTGATGTTTATTCCCTTCTAAGGTTCTATGTTTCTCTATGGCTGCAATGGTGAAGTCTTTTTGTAATGATCCTTTAAGTTACTCGATTGGAGGCCCTTTTTATAGTTACCTCCCTTTTTCATGGTCTTTATTTATGTATACCCTTGTAGTTTTTCATTTTTTTTTTTTTTTCCTCAATGGAAGTTAAGAAATTCATAAAAAAATACTTTCAGTTCAAAATTACCATAGACTTCAAACCTTGGACGACTTAGTACGCAAAGTTCAATTTATTCACAAGTTATTTTGTCAGCAATCTCTTTAACACTCATACCTTCTCCCTCTAACCACAAGAATATCTGCACATCAAAGCATAGCAAAATCCACAAAAAAATAATAATAAAGGATGTGGAGTTCATGCAAACAACGTAGAGAAAATATGCAATTGAGCTCCTGCAGGATCATAAAAACTTCTAATTAAAATTACTATAACTGCAAAGGCCAACTAACTTCCAGACTAGAACATTCAGTTGCGATGTTACCACATCACCGGCTGAAGAAGTTTTGGATCAAAAACCAAGACAGAAAACGAATATTTTTATGGGTGTAATGGAGCTTGAGAGGATTCTAGATTTTGGATCATTATAATGTTGTTCTTTGGGTTCATATTCTTGTCTTTTTTATGACCTTCCTCTGTTTTTTTACCACCAAGAATAGTGAAACTTTCTTGAAATAATGTGTTTTGATAGCTTCTATTGTTGGTGGGGCCATAATCTCTTGAAATAAATTTTTCATGCCTTCCTCTGATTCTGACTGTTTTGTTTTTGTTTTATTCTTTCATTTTTCTTGAAGAAAGTAGGTAATGAAATTAGTAAATGAACATTGGGCGTTTCGTGCTTCAACTAGATAGAACACATGGAAAACAGACTGGGTTAGTTTCAAAAGGAACACTATGATTGCATGGTTGAATGGAAAATTTTACAAAAGAGATTTCATGGGAACTGCGAAGGAAAGAAAATATAGAGTTTTCCAAGATAAGTCTACAAATCAAATGGAGGTAGTAGAAAAGGCTAGCTTTAACGCTCGTCAATGGTGCTTCCAATTTTGTACTAGACAAGCACATGGAACAGACTCGGGCCATCCACCCATACTCCAAAATCAAATGGAAGAAGAACGAATTCAAGATGGAGGTGACAAATTGCACAAGCTCTTTAATTAAAAAAACAAATAAACAAATAAACAAATAAAATCCACGCCCAAATGATGAAGGCCAAGGCTTACCATATTTCTCAATACTGTCGAAAAGTTTCAGTATATCATTCTTTACAGTACCAATCTACAAAAAAAAAAAAAAAAAAAAAAAAAAAAAAAAATTATACATGTACAATTATGAGAGTGGCAGGCTAAAATAACTACAATTTTGAAACCGACAATAAGCAGTGGAATTAGAATAAGAACATGATAAATAAAAATATTGCCGCAGAGTTTATAGCCATAACAGCCAAACAGGTGTGTGAGAACATGCCAGTGACTAAGACTTTGAATGAGGAAGTAACTAGTTTCTTCAAATGTATTTCGATATCACTTCGATAAGTCACATAGGAGAAGTGAAGAATTCGTCTGACTACAAAATTAAAACCAGCAAAAATCATACTACAGACTGGGGAATCAGGATCCAGCATCTTCTCAATGTCTAGCAGTCGTGAAATTGCAAAATGATTTCCAAGCGGCTAAAATTTAAACTTTAACGAACATTGGTAGTCAACGCAGAAATAAACAACTAACTAGCCACATTTTTTTTTTCTAAGAAACAATCTCATTGTAAAAAGAATTACACGGGGGAGAGAAAAACTCTAGCCCAAAATAAATTACAAAAAAAAAAAAAATTGTCAACTGGTACAAAGCACAATCCAATTGTACTTACACAAAGGTCTTAGTTAGCACCAATAATGAGCAAAAGAAATGGAAAAACAAAACAAAACAAAACTCTTAACCTATACAAATGAGGGAGAAGTATGATAAAATCCTTTGGAATTGTGTGGCTAGAGGTCTCCTCCTATGAAATATTTGGAGAGAAAGAAACCAAAGAACTTTCGAAGACAAGTTGTTACTCCTTAATTCTTTTGTAATGGGTTGAAACATATAGTGTCTTGTTGGATCTCAAACCACCCAAAATTCTTTTGAAATTACAACCTTCTCTTCATTCTAAGCGATTGGAAGGGATCCATTCGTTAGCTTTTGTGGCCATTGGTTTGGCTTTTAGCATAGTAAATAAGGAGATCAGATATCATTACAAAATTGTGCTCTTTGTCCTAAAAAAAAACTTTTGATTGCACTCGTTCCAAATGACCCAAGAAGGCCTATTGATGTGGACCCATAGCAAAGCTTTGACATGTGTGTAGGGGTGACCGGATAAGACAAAAGTGAGGATATCCTTCACATCTCTGAGGAGAGTCACTAGCCATCCAAAAGTGTTGAGAATTCTGTCCCAATATTTACGAGCAAAGGAGCAATGAATGAAAATATGGTTTTGAGATCCTTTGTTTTACTAAGAGAGTGCCATCTTGGAGAAATGACCAAGTAGGGCATGTGCCTTTGGAGGATATCACCAGTGTAAATAGCCCAATTAAACATTTCTCAAAAGAAAATTTTAATCTTTTTGAGATTACTACCCTTTCAAATTCCTTTAGCTAATGTCTCGTCCAAGAGCTGTGTTGTATTCCCTATGTCAGCTAATAAAGATTTGGTGGTAAGGTACCCACTAGGATGTGGCATCCACCTCCAAGAAACCTCCCAATGTGATAGAAAAATAGGTGCAAGGTCAAGGCTGAGAACCACCCATTCAATAGCCTCTTTGTTCTTTAAGTTACGACTAAGTTTTAAATCCCAAAAAGAGTTTTCAGCACACTATGCCTCTTTAATCGTGGCCTCCTTGTAATGAGAAAGCCTATATAATTGAGGGAAATAAGAGGCCAATGGCAAGTTAGTATTCCATGAGTCCGTACAAAAGAGCGTGGCGCCACCATTTCCAACTTGGTGATATATTTTGCTGATAACGAGGGTTTGATGCTTGACAATAGCTTTCCTAGGGGCTCTGGAAGAAGATAAGAAGCCCAACTTAGATGAGAAGATGAGACATACTTCACCTTTACAAGTTCCCTCCATCGAGTACTTTTTCATAATTGTTGCTTTGGCTTTTTCTAATACTTTCATTTCCCATCAGGGGCAAAGTTTCTCTTTCAAAAAATATTGTTTTTCATTCCAGAAAGTCTATAAGAAAGTTCTCATAATCACACAAGGAGTTTTTACTTCGTCTTTAAAAGAGTGACCACCTGGGAAGAAGTGGAGATGGCTTGCCAATATCTCTATGAATCCGAACAGTCCATTCAAAAGAGTTGGTTATCGTGTATATACTTCCTACAAGGAGGTTCCAAATAATATTCAGAAATAATTCTACTCTCTCCCTTTGAAGCTCAGCTACCAAATCTTAAAACTACAAAACTATGGTTCCATAAAGCTCTTCCTAGGGATTCCCAATTGCATATATTAGGGTCAATAATGGAAGCTTCTTTTCTAAATTATGACAAAATGGTTTCAAAATTGAAATTCGCAGCAAGATTTTATAATGTTAAATCTCCAAAACATATTAGATTATACTGAAGGATGTTGAGGTCCCATGAAGTACTCGAGGGGTTCCACAAACTTTAGTAATGAAAAAGAATTTATTATTAACGACCTTCCTTGAGCAGTATCTGTTTTATAGGTTGTACAAATGTGTCCAAGAGTTCTAAGAAAAAGAATCCTATTTATAGATAGTGTGAAGAGGCTAGCGAAGGTCATCAAAAGATATTCATTTCCCTTCCATCTGTTCTCCTAAAATTTTTAGTGTCAAGAACAATGCCCAGAAGAAAACCGACTCTAAAAGGCAAAATAACACCTTTTAATCAGAGAATATCTCTCCAAGGTCCTCTTCATGGTGGGACTGCAGAGAGACCACAAATCCCCTTTGAGGGCACCAAATTAAAGCCAGCAGCCACTGGTGATAAACCACTAGTAGGGCATGCGCCACTGGTAATTTTAATCTTTTTCGGATAATTACCAGAGACCAAAAGCCAAACGAATTCCTTTCCATGATAGACTTCCCAAGTCATTTTAGGATCTTTTTCCTCCTTTAGAAAATCTTCCTTTCTTCTGATCCACTCGATAGAGTGACCAAACCCAATTCAATCACCATTTTTGTTATACCTTCTCTGGTTAGGCTCTTCAATGAAGCAACCTTTGCTTTTTTGTTCTTTGAAAAGATGAAAGAGAGAGGATGTCTCGTTAATATAAAGGTGGTCGTTAACCAGATAAGGAGATCCACTGTCTGCATTAAGAAAGGGCTCGTCTACTCTCTATGCTTTGTGACGACCATGGAAAATGTTTTTTGGTGAATGTTGATGAATCACTTGATGAAGTTCCAACTTCCAATCCATTAACGTGGCAACGGTTCAAGGATTGGGGTGCTGGCGAGATAAGAGGTGTAAAGGACAAGGAGAAAGTGCATGTATTATTCTTCTCTTGACAATATAATCACACGTTTAGTGTACAAAACATAAACCATTATTATGTTGTACATATTCTTTGATATATGAAAATTAAACGTCTAGTTTAATAATACCTATAATCGCACAAGCAGCCACACTAATAAAAACAGAAGTACACAAGTTCTTCACAAGAAAGGAACGTAAAGTTTCTGAGCTTAACGAAAATACAAGGAAAAAAAGTAAAAATACCATATTTTGATCAATATCAGACGATGCTAATGATACAACACCAGCAAGGGCTTCAAGTGCCAATCCTATAGAGAATAACAGCTATATAATGTAAGTTGCAAAGTTTAAGCCATCTAGACAAAGAAGAAAAACATGATATAAAGCGATTGTAGAATGTTAACTTCTCACCTAAATAATGATAATCTAGAATGATATAAAAAAGATGTGCAATTCTTCATAATCTAAGTTCCTACAAATCTCATTTTAGCAAACTTTTCGAAGTTTTTAAATTCTTCTTTAAATTTTTTTGTGAGAAACAAGAAATTTGCAGGAGAGAGAGAGAGACAAAGAATCTCAATTTCAATATAAGTTGCAAAGTTGGATAGGACATACATCCTTAAAATCTTAGCCTAGAGCCATGCATACCTCCAAAAAACCAATAGTAAGGTAATCAACCAACACACGTCCCACTTGTTAAACAATCAAGAAAAAAGAAATGTTTGTTGTTGCCCATTGTGTTGAAGCTTATAAATTATAATGATTCATTATATTAATGATGTTTAAGATTAAACTTCATGGAACAGAGTTATTACTTCCTCGTTGAAATTTAACCATTCCTTTGCAACTATACTTCATATAGGGTTTCCACCAAAACTTCAAACACGCATTAAAGTACACTTCATTTCTAGAATGCCTATTTTCTTAAAAGCTCCTTTGAAGTTAGGATTGTGACTTAGATGACAATTACATTTATTAAATAAATGTTTATGCTTTTGTTTTTTATCCAATTCAAATAAGTATTGTTAGTCTTTTCTTGAACAAACAGGAATGCTAATACCATGAGAAAACTAAGAAACTTCTCTGAAGCGGTGAAGAGTGACTTTATCAATTATCACAATTTACAATCGTATACAAACAAGAATGTCAAAAGAATTTTTAATAGGTGAAGAATTATGGATGAATTAGTACCAGCAGCATAAGTACTAGACTCAGGATTATTGGAACTATAGCGCCACCTTCCATCACTCTGGCTCAACGCCTGCAAATTATGCCCGAAGTAGACAAAAGGATAATTAATATGGATATCTATCACAAAGCACTGTTCATGTTCTTGGTAGAAAAAAGGTAACCCGATCAACTATCTACATGTGATTTCTCTATGATGTTTGCATTCTAATAATTTGCAACCTGATCTACAGAGTTTATGCAGTTTTTTTTTTTTTTTTTTTTTTTTTTTCTTTTTAGCAAGAAGCATCCTCCCATGAGATAATGAAAAGAAAAATGTAAGCCTCGAATGGAAACTAGATTCTAGGACCATATATACACATACTCCATTTTTCAAATGCTGAATAATCTAACCTTGATCGATTGAAAAATAACATCAGCGTCCTTAAGTGATAGATCAACTCCAGAACTTTGTTCCTGCAAGTATGAAAGGAACTTACTAAATTCAAATATCAAAAAGGAATTGAGGATCTATTCCTTTAAGAATTTGCAAATCTTCTTGTCACATCATTCACCAGATAATAAAAACTGAGAAAGAATATATTTGTATACAGTTTATATTTGAATCTTGAATCACCATAAAATAAATAAGAAATGGAATATGGTTACCTACATGGCAGATTGAGTCTGGATTGTGAATAGAATTTTACCTTTAGATGTAATAAGCTTCCTATAGAGTAGTAGAAGTCAAGCAGCGACCGCGCATCATTTAGAACAGTTCTAAGTCTTGAAGTAATGCTCTTCAAAAAATGAAAAGAAATAATCACAAGTCATGAACGTGCATTACCACCGATCACATAAGACTTGTTTGGAAGTCATGTAGAAATAAAAAGAAACAATAAATAATTTTCAGCTTAAAATAGTATTTGACAGGACGGTTTTTACAACAAAAAGTAGCAAAAAACAGTAGCAATACTTTGTCATTTTCATGTATTTTTTAGTGCTTTACTATGTTAACTTTTCATATCATCTAAACATTCAATGTCAAAGTAACATTTGATTACAATCTAATATATTTATAAATTAATGTATTAAATAATAAACCAAAATGCAAAAGGTCGCCTTATATACCATTTAACGTCTGCAATCTCACAAGGATGGGATCTCAATTTTAGAAGGAACCTTACAGATTGCAAGATTGAACAATGGGCTTCCCTCACTGGTGTCCACAAGATAAAAGGATATACTCCCTGTGGGGCAGTGAGACTTTCCCAATCGATGTTTCTCAACCTCAATGAGAAAAGTATGCCAATCTCCCTCACCTTTTTGTAAGTTCGATATGGGAAGCTAAAACCCTTGAGAAGTGAAGGATTTCCTTTGGATTTTTTCCTTTGAAAAAGTGAATACTAGTTGCATGATTCAAAAGAGGTTTCCTCACGCCTTACTCTCCCCAAACTGGTCTGTTATGGGAAAATCAGATTCGGAGGATCCAGCCCAGTTATTCTTCTCCTGCCTTTTCTTTCATGTATTGTTGCACAGTCCTATTCTGGATCTGATGTCATGTGATGCTTCACTAGTAGGCCTTGAAGTTCAAATTCAAAGGCCATGCTAGAACTCCATAGTCTAATACAGTGGCAACCGTCTTTGGAGGCTTTGAATTGAAAGAAGCAAAGAGTATTTCAAGGGGATGAGGTTTATTTTGATGATTTCTGGGATTCGGTGTGTTTTATAGCATCCCTTGTCAAAAAAATATTTGTAATCATGATATGATGCATATTTGGTTGATTGAGTATCTTTTTTGTATTCCCCTTAGCTTAGTGGGGATATATCATCCTCCTTTTGTAGCTTTTGTCAATAATACAAGTCTTGTTTCTTATCCCCCCCTCCAAAAAAAATCTTTTACAAAATGTTTTAAAACTTAAAAACAATAGAAATCATTTTTTAAAAAAAAAATTAATTTGCAACGTAGTATCTAAAAAAAACTAAGAAATTTCAAACAAGCGCTTAGAAACAGAGCACCAAGAATATAAGAATACCTCATATACTTCCTCCTTAATTTCACATTTCAAAACATCGTTAACTCTCAGAGCATAAAACAGATCCTTTAGAGCCGCAGATGAACCAAGAGCCTCTGATACAGACTTGCAAGTGGCAGCACTAATATCAGGCTTCTCTTGAATTCCAAGAATGTCAAATGTTCTTAATGCTTCATGTGTCTCTTCCAAGCTGATAAGAGGAAAAACAAAACTAAGAAAAAAAAAAAACAAGGATACAACTGGAGACCAAACATAATAATGCTCATGGAAAAAAAGAACATAAACAAAACCAGGACCAAAACCACCAATTCAAAAGCGCTATTCTACAAGAAAAATTACAACCATAATTCTGTGAGAGTTCAAAACCCTAGTAATAATAATTTACATTAGAAATCTATAATTATTTTCAACAAATATCTCATAAATGTTTTATATTTTATATTTATTTACCAATTAATTTAAAATGTAAACATGTAAAGAACGTAACATGCATGTATGTATGAACTAATATGTTATAATTGCTGTGTTCCTCCTATGCATTCATCCTAAACTTTTAGAGAATTACATGCCATGATATTCAAATCGTATTATATCCATGAACCTATTTTGTATAACATAAACATGGCAGTAAATTTCCATTAAAAAAAACTAGTTTCCTCTCCCCAAAATTTCCAAATCAAGGCTGAAGGAGGCCTTTCTATTCGAAGAAAATTCAACATGCTGTGTTCAAGTTTGAAGCAATAAAACTCCCAGAGTTGTAACAAAAAATCGATATACAGTGCAAATACATTCAAATATATGAGTATAAAAACTGTTGGGTGCCTATCGTGCATGCATCCTGAATGTTTAGAGAATAACACGTCACTATATTCAGATTGTATCATGTTCTTGAAAAAAATTCGAATATCGTATGCAAGGGAACAAATTTCCATTGAAAGAATTAACTAGTCTCCCTCTTCCCAAGTTTTGCACGTTGAGGTTGAAGGAGGCCTTTCAATTTAGAGAAAACTCAACACGTTGTGCTTGAAAAGTTTGTCAGAATCCATAAATTAAGACCTTAAGAGGTTTCCTTTAGGGCTTGTTAATTGCATCACAAATGAAACCTCCTTCGCAATGCTATAATGAAAGGCAATTTGGTTAAAAATACAGAGGTCGTAATGGAAAAGTAGCTTGTTGATGTAAAAAAAAATATTGATGGTCGAATTTATATTAAAAAGAAAAACAACTCTCAGATCCGAAACAGAATTTTACTGCTCTCGCACGATAGAAATCACAAGAAAGCAAAGAAGGGAGATTAGAATCATTTTTCCAAAGAGGCCATGTCCAAGAACTTGACGGCCACGTCTTTTGCACGAAATCTACCGAACTCAAAGAGACAAAAAGAAAATAAATACAAAAAATTCCTACTACCTTCCGAATACTCCAGCAGTAGGCCGGAAGAGCTCCAGAGCCGCATTTCGATGTGAATCTGAGATCGGCTGAAAAATGCTAGCAGCTTGGCAGATCGAAATCCAAAAAAGTAGCACCAGAAATGGAACTAGGTTTCTGGCCATTGCTGCAAAAGCACAGTAGTGAAGAATCATCAATATATGATCCTATCAATACCACAGATCACGCAATTCCTACATTTACACGGTCAATTCATATGAAATTTGACACAAAAAAAACGAAGGTTTGAAGAACCCTAGGGTATAGATCAAAGAGATAAAAACTTTTGACATATGGGAGGAAGATTACCCGGAGAGAGGTCCCGCAGTCAACTGTTAGCGAGAGAGTGAGAGAGCATAGGATGGGGAAAGCTGCTATATAAAATGTAGAAATTTCTTCTTTTCCGAACATTGAACCAAACCAATATCCAACCAATCATAGAACCGATCGGTTCGGTTTTTAGATCTGAACCATAATTGTTTTCCGGTTTGGGCTATTCTTTTTTATTTAAGAATTTGCAAATATAGCAAAATTATATATGATTTTGCAAATTTGGAAAGTATTATTTTATAAACGATGTCATGGACTTAAATGTTCATCATAAATTCGTTATAACGATATTGTTACAAAGAGCATAGCGAAGAATAAATAATATGAGTTTAAATAAAAATAGAACAAAGATAATCATGAATGAATACATATGTCCTAGTTTTGGTCCCATGGTCTTCACCGTGATCTCGTCATTTTGTACAGGGTGTCTTATTTTTACCTGAAAAATAAAAACAGCATGTGACTTTAGTATTTTAAGAAATACTCGCTAATCTCATTTTTGAATTGGAAAATGCAATCACACGTAACATGGTGGGATCTATCCTTTCATATAAAGATCATGGCATGGTCTTGAGCTCAGCTTTCCAGTATAGGCTCGATTAGACATGTAGTACTTCATTACGCACATCTATATAGATCCACTGGTGGGCTTGTATATATACCCCATGGACTTGGCTCGTTAAGCTAGCGAATACTCGTCAGTGAAGGAAAGACCCCCATAATATCATAGCGGGCATAGATATTGTAAGGTATGCGTCCGTATTAATCATAATGGGAAAGTATCCCAATGCACATTATATACATAAATGCATGAAGTTCCCATATCTTAAAATCATGACATAAGGGATTCGTGACATAATGAGCCTATGAAACATACGTACATAGTAATTGTCATATCTTTTATCGTTAACCTATATGGCTTCCTCATGACTCATAGGCATGGAGTAATTGTGCTAACATAGTTTACATGGTGTAGTATAAGGAGGTTTATGCATTATACATTATTAATGTTATAATATAGTTCCACGACATAGTCATATCATAGCACAATATATACATGACAAAACACAACATAACATAATTTATAACATGACATAACATAATATAGCATTGCATCACATAGCACATGCTAACAATCATAATCATGACGCGTGTAGGGGCCACAAGATATGCATCATCATACATTATACAAGTTGTCTAACCAAGCCAAAGTGAAGTCACTTACTGGTCTAAACCAGCGTTATTAACTTATACTTTATGCTAGTTCGAAACTATCATTTGCAATCTAAATCAACCTATGAGGACCTACAACATCGTTTAAGGCACGGCTTTTGGCTAAACTAATTTAAAGGGACCAAATAGTGGTCATAGTGTCCCCAATTGCTTCCAATTATGTCAAAATCAACTTAAGAACCGATCCTAAGACTGGGACCACATAGCAAAAATGGAGCCCAAAACAATCAAATCGAGCCAAATGCACTGAGGAAGCCACTGAGCCAAGCCGAGTTGGGTCAAGTTGAAGCGGAGAGGTACGGGTCACATCATCGGGTCGAGTCGGGTATGCAGGTCAAGAGCACATGTGGGTTTGAAAATTGAGTGAAGTCACTAACAATTTGGGTGCGTGATTTGTGGCAACTGGGCTGCGCCTCATGGGTACTGGACCTTACCCAAATTCGAATCCGAGTCCAAGGCTGACGCGTGGGCTTCTTCTTATGGACCACTTGCTGGTTTCTTCCAATTTCTCTCTCCTTCCTTCCATTCTTCTCTACGCATCCTCCGAGTCGTGCGACAATACTCAAGGCACACCCCCTCGCTCACCACTTGCTCTCATGAGCCTTCCCTTATGGCTGTGACAACGCAAGATCCTAGGCAGGCTCGTATATGTACCTTACGGATTTAGCTGGTCGGACAGGTACACGTTTATGTTCACAGTTTGGTTTACTTCGACTCACAAGGTTCAACAACAACGAGGGAATATGAAAGACTCCCTGGATGGGAGAATTTTTACTGTGTAAGGCTCAAGGTCTCTATTTAGTTTATCACGGTTGAAATTTAATTCTACCTAAGAAGTCCTACAATCATAAATTAGAATTCTACTTTGGAAATTGGCTCACGTCACTTTTTGTAAAATAATTTATACTTATTAAACCTAATTTTGAGTAAAATAATTTAAACTAACTAAAAAAAAGTAGTCATACTAACTTTAAACGCTTCAAAAGAGTTGAAATTAGTAGGATAGGGTCCGAGCGTATAAGACCCAAGCTGAATCAGCCGAAATGTCAGCTTAGAGCCATCAGAAAATGTAATGTCTAACTGGCTTTGAACCGCTCAGGTAGGATGAAAGGAACCAAGGGACCTCTATAGTGAAGCCTAACTCTCCACTCTCAACGTTAATAATATGGGACAACTTCTTTCCTTTTTTTTTTTTTTTCCGGTTATTACCGTTCTCATTTAGATGAAATCTCAGTTCATTTATGTAATCCTCCTTTGCTAAGGTATCACATAAGAACTTCATAGTTAAACATGTTTTGCTTTGAGCAATTCTATGTTAGGTGACCTCTTGAAAATTTTATCCCTTTTAGAAGCAAGGAGTAGTAAGTAACCTAACTATGTCGCAAGAGATGCATGAGAATGACGAGACACCATGTGTTGAATTCGAGTTTCAAATCGAACATAGAAATCCAATATCCGAACCCATGTGTATGCACCAATCAAATCTTGGTTTATTGGGCAAGAACTTTAGTTCTTCACGGATTCTCACCAAGATCATCAAGTCACATTCAAATCCAATCACCAAAAAGATGGTCGTTTTCCAATTACTATAAGGTAGGATAAGAAGTTGTGTTGAGCCCAAATGTCCTTAACGCTCTTAATCAAGAAAGCAAATGGGCCATTACAGATATCTTTGTCTAATACGATATGATATTGACATCTAAATGGACCGAGTATTCGCCTACTTTAAAGTCTTCGTCTTTAAGATAACAAAAAAGATAAGCTCTCCACTCCTTAGGTTGCTAAACTACGATCGAACCAGGTCGAGTCATTTAGTTAAGATTGTCTCCCTTTCAATGTCTTTTGTTTACAATGATAGTTCTCGATCTTTTAAGTTCGTCTTAAATTTTTTTCAAAATTTCAAATAGTTTCTAATAAATTCTTGAACTTTTAATCTATTCGATATCTAATACTACGGTAACTTTAAATTTTGTGACTGATACGTCTAAGTTTTAAAATTAAAAATTCATAAACTGGGAACGTATTAAAAACCATAATTAACCCTTTTCCATCGCCATATGTTGACTCTTACATGTTCGGAGGCAGAGTTTGCTGAAGGTGCACACGAGTTGAGTTGAGTTGGATTGAATTTATTTTTTATCTCACTCGAAATTTTGGGTTGGTTGAATTGGTGACCCGAGTCATCCGAATAGAGTTTATAACTATATTCTCGTAAAGTTAAAATATCAAATATTTACAAATCACAACGCATCACTTACAAATCTTAAATATTCTTAATGTTTTTAAAAGTACGGTAAGGTTGAGTTGAGTTGTAACCCTATTTTAGGGTCGAGTCAACCACAAACGTTAACTATTCTACTTAAAAAAATGGTAGGATTGAGTTATAATCTTATTTTTGAGTCAGTCAGGTTGACTCGACAAATTTCAACCACAAACTAAATCTAATTTTCGATTTTTAAATCTAAATCAACACAACCTGAATAGTTTGAGTTGAGTAGTCTAGCCACTTGCTTAACTAGGACAGAAATTGTCTAAATCTGGACGTCCTAAATTCTTACATAATTACAAAAAAAAAAAAAAAAAAAAAAACTCTATTATATTCTTAAAATAATCAAAGCTAGAATTGAAGTAATTGGTCAATTAATTAAAAAGCATAAAAGAGACAAACAAGAGATTAAATTAATATAATCAATCTTCTTCTAAATCTTTTGATATACAAATCCATACAAAATCACACACCACCAAATATCCTCATTCTGATTCGTAGGACCCTACGCTAACCACTCTCCACACCCTCGATCTCTCTTAAAACTCGCACACTAATAAACTATCACTTACTATTACAATCTCGGGAAGGTAGAAATTCGAATCTCGTTCCTGAATATTAATATCAAATTAGTCGAACTATTCTCAAATCGACTCGAAAATGAAGCATGAAATTCGAACATGTTTGCCGAATACTAATATTAAACTAGGCGAACTATTCCCAGATCCACCGAACATGAAACACTTACAAGATCAAGCTCTTTTCTTGAGTTACTTTAAGCTAACAAGCAGCTATACAGATGCTAGATCAGTCCCAAAACCCTTTTTTTTTTTTTTTTGTTTGTAATTTCAAGTTCTTGGTGCTATTTATATGAAATTATGTATTAGTGGGGATTAATTTAATTGGGTTTTTGAGAGTCAGTGGAAAACGAGCCTCTGGAATTTGGTTGCTGACGGGGAATCCGATTCCACGCACAGAGAAATAGCCCTCTTTTTGTTGATACTCCCACAATTAGTGGCAAGCGACGGCGGTGTAGGGAGTGGGATTGGAATCGGCGGTAAGTGGAGAGATTCAAGGGGCGGCGGCGGATGTCTCCACTGAGGAAGTGGTCCGGCGAGGAGGAGCGTCTGGAGAAGAGGACCAGCCTTCATGACGGCTTGTAAGAGCTTACCCTTTTCCGGCAATGGCTTTTCCGGGAGCCAATCGGTGATTTCCAACGGCGGAGGAACGGGAGATGAAACGGAAACGATACTCTCGTCGGAATCGGATCCTCTGGTTGTGGGGTCGTCGTCAATCGTCGTCGGAGGTGGATGGAAGAAGAGATTTTGGAGAAGAAGCTTATTGGATTTATCAATGGCTTCATCTCTGTCTCTAATGGCTTGATTCAACAGGTTCTTGAGGTATAAAACTTGATCATCTCTGTTCTTCAGCTCCTCCTGAGCTGCGATTCTGGTCTGTTCCAGCTCCAGAGTTGTGCAGAGAAGCGAATGCCGGAGTTCATCAATGTTCTGCCAAAAACAAAATCTCAAAATCAGAGACTGATTTCAAAAATCTGGCGAATACCCACCAAAGAAACGAGGAAGAAATGAAGAACAGAGGCGGAATCTGACCTTGGATTGCAAGAAATAAGGGGAAGTTAGAACAGGGGTGCGCTGGGTATCCATGGAGGTAGCGAGAAACAGAGAGAAACAGAGAGAAACAGAGAGGAAATGAATGGAGGTGGGATTATGAGAGGTCGAAGTGGGGAAGTAGCTATAAAAAGGAGGGTATGAGGGGTTGGATTGGGGTTAAATTTTGACTAGAGTTTGGACAAAAAGAGGGAATAGGAGGAGAATAAACAGAGGAATGGGAATGGGAATCAGATTTGGGCGAGAAAGCCGGGAAGTGTATGCATCAAAACCTAATCACACTCAACCTACTTTGTATTTTTATACAATATCTCTCTCCCTCTCTCTACCCCTATTACTACTACTAATGGGTCCGACCCCATTTCGAGACGTTATAGATTGCCGTTAGCTTTACTATTTTAAAAACGATCTGCCTCCTTGGGAGCCCGTGTTTTCAGTGACACACCGTTTGGTGTTGAACTCTGATAAAGTTTGTAACAGCGCAAGCCCATTGTTAACAGATATTGTCTGATTTGGGTCGTTACGTGTCGCCGTTAGCTTCATGATTTTAAAACAAGCATGCTAGTTTGAGATTTCTATACGCTTCTAAGGAATGTTTTATTTCCCTCTACTGCTGAACATTCCCTCTACCATGGTGTGAGATCTCTAAATTCTATTTTAAAAACATATGTTTTTGACGCTAATAAAATTTGTTACTCTTTTGGAATATCCCATAATGTTTTTTTTTTCTTTTGTTTCTTTTAATGAATTTGAAGATGATAATATGATAATTATATACATTTATTATAAAATTATAATCATATGACGTGACAGACTGCTTCACTTTTTTCTTCTTATTATTTTATTACTGTTATTTATTATTACTGTTATTAAATAACCATTGGGGGAAAAATGTAATTTAACCCCGAATTTGTGACAAGGGTAAAAAGATATTGTATATTTAAGGATGAAACTTTGGATATATGATCTTTTATGTGCCAAAAATCATAAACTCATTATTTGCAACAATGTTCGTATTTATTTTAGGTTAAATTAATAAAAACACGTCTATATTTTATCTAAAAATACATTCCACTTTTCAAAAGCTTAAAAAATATTCTTACCGTTCATTTTAGACGGAAAACAATTCTCATGCAAAAAAATATCTTACCGTTAGTATATGGATAGAATTTTAGTAACACGTTTCAAAAATTGTAACAGCCCAAGTCCACCACTAATAAATATTGTTAACTTTTGTCTGTTATGCATCGACGTCAGTCTCACGATTTTAAAACGCGTCTGTTAGAGAAGTTCTCTCTTCAACGATGTGTGATCTCACAAAAATACTCGTAAACTTTCAAACATAATGTAAAAAAGGTTGCAGAATATTCATGAAGAGCAGATAGATAGTTTTCGTCCATATGTTAACGGTAATAACTTATTTTAACTTCTTTTTATAAGGGTTAAAACATTAATGCAACTTCTAAAATTTAACGAGTATGTTATAATATTTATGAACTTTTTTAAAAAGTTGAAGAGTATAATGAAACTTTTCAAAGCGTATGGGTATTTTTGAAATAAAGTACCCACGGTTTCCGTGAACAAAATATAAAATTTAAATGTATATTCTTTTTTATTAATATAACTTTTCTTTTATTTATTTTTATTTTTTATTTACCGGGGTCCAGATTACACGTAAGGGAACTTATTGCAAGTCATTTTTCAAAATTAAAATTAAAAATAAAAACGAACAAATAAATAAAAATCTAATTCTCCTGCCTCTCCCATGGATAAGATTATGTTGCTATGACACCCGAGTAAAGGAGTGATACATAAATAAACTTTTAGGTGGCTCAATCATAAGAACTCCATAGTTAATCGTGTTTTGCTTGGAGCAATTCTATATTAGATGACATCTTGTGTTTTAGGAAAACTTGTGTTAGTTTGTAGAGATATCATTCACTTTTAAAAAACGAGGAGTAACTAACGTGAGCATGTTGCAGAGAATACATGAACTATTAGGTGCCGAATAATGGGCACCCATGCCAATACAAGATATTTAATATCTATTTATAATCTTGGGCTTGGATCGTTACTGTCATTCGTACGGGAGGCGGTCATGTTCAAGCCGTTATTATTATTATTTTTTTTACGTAATTATATTAGGCATTATGCAAACATCTCTCTGATGTGAACATGGCGAGCGTTCACCATCTATTCCTCGGAAGCGGCAAACTCAAGCATTGGACACCCAATGCCACAACATTATATCACCTTTCTTTATCCATTATTGATCATTTAAACAAAGTCCACAAACAATGGTTCTTTTCTAGTCTAAGTATTGGTTAGAAATCACTCGGAGTTAAATATGTACTAGCAACTAAAAAGTTAGAGACGTGAACTAAAAAAATAAAATTGAAATAGGTTTGGTAGGCAATTTTTAGGTTAATGAGACAAAATTATGAATTTATTATTAGGATCGCACAACAACGCACACTCGATCTGGATGAACACAAAGAACAGGATAGAGAAAATGCAAGGAGAACTTTGGCTAAAGGATTTGTATTGATGACTTCAAGTATGTACAATAAGAGAGAATACAGAGAATACAAAAAGTCATTAATACAAATCCTTTAAACAGAGTTCTCCTTGCATTTTCTCTATCTTGTTCTTTGTGTTCATCTAGATCGAGTGTGTGCGATCCTAACAACTGGTATCAGAGCTGGGCGGAAGTCACCACGATTTGTGAAGATGGAAAGTTCAAAGATTGGAATTGAGAAGTTCGATGGATCCGACTTCAGTTTCTGGAAGATGCAGATTGAAGATTATCTGTACCAGAAAAATCTTCACGAACCCCTGTTGGGAGTGATGCTAGATACCATGACCATGGAGCAGTGGTAGCTCAAGGATCGAAAAGCCTTAGGGATGATCCCGTTGACGCTATCCAGAAACGTGGCGTTTAACATCATCAAGGAGAAGACAACGTCAGATCTGATGAAGGCGCTGTCAAATATGTACGAAAAACCGTCGGCTATGAATAAGGTGTATTTGATGCGGAGATTGTTCAATCTATAGATGTCTGAAGGTGGATCTGTTGTGGATCATATAAATGAATTCAATATGATCGTAAGTCAACTGAGTTCGATGGAAATTAATTTTGAAGATGAAATTAAAGCATTGATTTTGACGTCATCTTTACCCAAGTCGTGGGATACTGTTGTTGCCGCAATCAGCAGTTCCTGAGGCTCTGATACCAGTTGTTAGGATCGCACAACAACGCACACACTCGATCTAGATCGATTGCGTGCGTTGTTGTGCGATCCTAACATTTATCGATATTCAAACTCAGTTCATAAGTTCCACTTTCGAACCGCTCAAGTCCACCGTTAGTAGATATTATTCGCTTTAGCCGGTTACAACGTTGTTAGCTTCACGGTTTTAAAACACGTCTATTATGAAGAGGTTTCCACACCCTTATAAGAAATGTTTCGTTCCCCTCTCCAACCGATGTGAGATCTCACAATCCACCCCCCCTTAGGGGCCAACGTTCTCGTTAGCACACCACCCTATGTCTGACTCTAATACCATTTGTACAGCCCAAGCCCACTGCTAGTAGATATCGTCCGCTTTAGCTCGTTACGTATCACCATCAGCTTCACGGTCTTAAAAAATCGTTCACTAGGGAGAGATGAATGTTTCATTCCCCACTCCAACCGATATGGGATGTCACAACTTTAATATACCCCATATGTGGTAGTGACGTTAAATTGGCCCCACGAGATAACATTTCATTTGAAGTAATAAACTTTACCCTTGCATACCCTAAAAGTCAACTAGGACAAATATGACAAACCTAATGATTAGAAAGGATTCAATAGGGGTAGAGACTTAAGATTCTTACTCATTAATAGAAATTTAGAAGTGTTTCTATTTAGAGGTTTCAAATAGGTAGGTTAAAAGTTCAAATTTAAACTAATAATTTTCTGTCCACTCAATATATATTTGTTTATGTTAGGCATGTTATGTGGAAATAATAGTAATCATAATTACATGCATAATTCATAGTTAATATAATTATGAGAGAGAGAGAGAGAGGGTATGATTATTGTAAAGCAATCGAATATTCACATTAATGGATCATCCATACATAATTCTTGTAGCGAAAAAACATATAAAAGAGTGAGGGGACAAGGTATCATAATTACACGACAACCTTTGCCGACATAACTATGCATTATGCTATAATTATGTGTATAATTTTAGTCTCATTTTTACTATAATGTCCAAAGATTACCCATCAAATCCATCTTTTTCTTTCTTTTTCTTTTTGCTTCTTTTTATGTTTTAACAAAATTTATAACTCAATAGTGAATAGAAGCTCATATATATACTTTCTTTATTTTGTTTAATTTTATCAATGTATTCATATTATAACCTTATTTGTCATGGAACTAAAAATAATTCGTTATTAAATCTACTTTCTTTGCTATAAGTTCTCGAGATTATGTATCAAATTCATTGGTTTAATGATATTAAAAGGCATGTTGCGAGATCCCACATAGGTTGGAGAATAGAATAAAGTATTCTCCTCTCCCTAGCAAACGCTTTTTAAACACTTTGAGGGGAAGCCCAAAAGGAAAAGCTCAAAGAGGACAATATCAGCTAGCGGTGGGCTTGAGCTGTTACAAATGGTATTAGAGCCAAACACTGGGCGACGTGCCAACGAAGAGGCTAGGCCCCAAAGGGGAGTGGACACGAGGCGGTGTGCCAGTAAGAACACTGGGCCCCAAGGGGAGTAGATTTTGGAGTCCCACATCATGGATTGGATAAGGGAACGAGTGTCAGAGAGGACGCTGGACCCCAAAGGGGGGTGGATTGTGAGATCCCACATCGGTTGGGTTGGAGAACGAAACATTCTTTATAAGAGTGTGGAAACCTCTCCATAGTAGACACGTTTTAAAAATCTTGAGGGGAAATGTGAAAGGAAAAACCCAAAGAAGACAAGATCTGCTAGCGATGTGTATATAAAAAATCGATTCAAACCTAAAAGCTCTCTACTCCTGAGAAGCAGTTTGGATGTCTTCGTCCAATTATACTTGGGAAAAATCTATTGTTACCCTAAACGGTTGTATTTCTCTCCCTGTGAAACTGAAATAATCGTCGTAATCCTTACACTCGATTCAATTTGTATTAATTCACCCACTAATTTTAAATAATCTCCTTAAATTCACGGGAGTGAGTCCCACATTAGTTAATTTAGTGGAAGATCTAAGTAAGGAATACTATCTTCATTGGTATGAGATCTTTTGGAGAAGCCCAAAGCAAAGCCCGAGAGATTATGCTCAAAGTGAACAATATCATATCATTGTTGAGATCCGTGATTCCTAGCACCTAGTTCAATAAAATAAAAAATCATATGATACCATTGAATACATTTGTCAAACCTCACCCATTTCAATAAAAATTGAACAGTCACTACATATATCAACAAGGCTCACCTTCTTTTTCGATGGCTAAATCATAGGAACTTGATAGTCAAACGTGTTTTGTTTGAAGTACTTTTACGTTGGGTGGCCTCTTGAAAATTTTTATATGATACATGTGAGTGAGAACAAAGAACACTAAAAGAGTTTGTATTGGTTTGTAGAGATAATCTTCACTCTTAAAAGCGAGAAATAAGTAACCTGATCATGTTACAAGGGATGTAAGAAAATATTGGGGTCATCAGGTGTCGAACTCTTAAGAAGCGAGAAGTAAATAACGCGACCATGTTGTAGGAGACGTAGGAAAATATCAGGACCATCAGGTGCCGAATTCAGATTTCGAATCCTAATCCAAATTCTAGACATAAGCCGTGATATATATATATATATATATATAAAAGATGGAAATCCAAGTGATTATGACACAAGCTACCATGGTTGGCAAAGTAAATCAAGAGTACTCATCATTCGTTATGAAAGAAAGCAATGGCATTACTTATTCTTCACTTTTCAACAAAAAAGGATAAACGAATTACTTTTTTAAGACAGTTGAGAATGATTATGTCCTTTTCAAAAAGTCACACAAACCCATGAAATAACCACCCATCCTACCCCTCTTTCTTTTTGACCATTCTACTTTTCCACACCTAAGTATATGTCATTCTAATACCTACCTCAATATATTCTTCATACAACTCAGATCAAGTTTAGTTCAAATTATGCTTCAGTTCTACAAAAAAATCAGATATGACAGGCTAATTCTTTTAAATCAAGTTATCGCTGATCTCTATGAAAGATTGGAGATCGAAACTTCAACCTCTATGCTCGTATATATAGAGTAAGTTGTTAAATACTAAAGTATAAGAACTAAATTATTACAAAATTTAAATTATAGTTACAACCGGCATAAAAATTTAGGAAGAAAAAGTGATTTTTAACCTCATACATGTTTTGCTCCCTGCTTATTTGTACGTTAAACATGTGTAGTTAGAGATACAAACTTTTGACTTTTTAGTCGATGATTTATATTTTAACTACTTGAGTTATGTTCAAATTGGCAACGGACTAAATCACGTATAATAGATTGTTTAGGTAAATGACAATTGGGGTCAATCATTTATAACATTTATAGAGTGGGTACTATGTGTTAACAATGTTACGAGGATAAAGTTGGATAATGAGGCTCTCGACCTTATCCACATATAATAGGTCGTTTAAGTTACTTCTTTAAGAAGGAATGAGTGAAGTATGAAGAAGAAACAGAAAAATGGAAGAAGGGAGGAGAGAGGAATCGAATGCAATCGGAGAAAGAGAAGAAAATGAAGTCCTTCGTGTTAAATGAGTCGAGTGTCACGGTCCTACATTTTTTACTGTGCGGCGTCATGATCTTGCTCACGACTAGCCTTGAGGGGAATTAAGCACCATATATATTTTTCGCCCCGGCTTTGTGGCTTCGTCGAACCTTAGGCGAGGTTTGTCTTCGCCAATCGAACATCACTTGTGCGGAATCCAACCTTGTTCAACCACACACGCCGCCTGTGCGTGCATGTTCAATCATTTGTGACACATCCCGACTTGCCTCTACGCTGGGCCAAGTCATTCGGCTCGACCTTGCCTCTGCTCGAGCAAGGTCTCTCAATGTAACATCGCATCTCATCTTGCCATCTCGATCCCCATCGACAAGGTCCATATGTCTTGATACCATCCCGAGTCTCAGGATGTCGTTGGCCATCATAACTCGCTCGGTCATGCCAACGTGGATGAGCCCGCGTGTCGTTCATCTCGTCAGGACTTCCCGAACATCCATCCATCCAGGGCCTCCCTACCCAAGGTTATATACTGTGAACCGTTGTTATTTCTCTCTTCCGTGCTTATATAACGTCTCTTTCAAAAATCTCTCTCTACCCTCGTTTTCTAAAACTTTCTCTTAAAACCAAGGCCAGAAGCTCGAGCATACGTCGCTTGGCCGTAGGCGACACAAGTACGAATTGGCTCAGCTCACTTGTAGTTGGAAAGTGAGTGTCGCACAATGGCAAATCCGCTGCCATCAAAAGTGTAATTGTGACACCGAGCTAGTATTCACGTCAAGCATTTAAATTATTAATTGTTTTCGTAAAAATACATTATTTAAATATTTTTAAAATTTTCAATATGTTATTGATTTATTAATTCAGTCTAAAAAGACAAATTATATGTAAAGCTAATGAATGTTATTTTATTTTAATAAAATGGAACAATTTAAAATGGTATTTTTAATAAATATAAAATAAAGAAAAAGGGAGTGGCAACGACATTCAGTGGGCCCCCCTAACCGCTACTACCTGTCGAGCTAGGTGTGGGCTCCATACTTTCGGAGTTTTCTAAGAAAAAAAAAAAAAAAATATATATATATATATATAAATAAAAATATTTTGGGATTGTGAGATTTTTAAAAATCTTGCTTTAGGCGGTCTTCACATCACATCATGCTTTTCAGCCCTTCCGAGAATCCAACCAATTATCCACCCTATCCTCCTTTTTCTCTCTCTTTTAATTAACTACCATTATATTATACTAATTCTTTAATTAATTAATTATTAATCTTCTTTACTTAATTCCATAATCCATATCGAATTGGGTTTAATTTATTTTAAAAAATTCGACTTACATTTTGGGTTCACATTTTTCTAATTGAATCGATTCGAACAATCTGAGAATATGGTTACAATCTAACCTAGTACAACCATATTTTTATTATGAAATTTAAGAATATTTGACGTCTGTAATTAATGTTAGTGATGTATTATGACTTATAAATATTTGATATTCGAGATTTACGAGGTTTTAATTATTAATGCAAAATGTATTGTCCATAAATAGATTTTTTTTTTAAATAATTCAAAAGAAAAGAATAATTGGACAACCCAAAGATAGGGGGTTGGGTTGAGTTGTTCATGTCTCCAATCCAACCAATCCCAAATTTTGGGTTGGTTCAAAAGATTCTTCCAATTCAACTCAATCCGTGTACATCTCTACTCACTTTAATGGCTGTTTTTCTCTTTGGGTTAGTTTGTCTCTGCTTGTCTTACTATGTCACGATGATGTACTACTTTTTTAGCACTTAGGGTTAGCATGCAACCTTAAGTGCTAAAAAAGGAACCAACTATATACATACTTCTATAATTATATGAGATTATTTGCTTTAGATCTGAATCTTCATAATTATCTTTATCAGAAACGATTTCATTCCGATGAAGATAGTTGTACTTAACTTAGATTACTCATAATCTTTTTATTTTTCTAGTCACGGTAAGACTTTAATTACACTCCCAACAATTTTACATCGAACAGTTGATTGTGTCAACGAATTACTAGATAAATAGTGAAATCGAGAAATTTGGAGCTCATTAAGGTTGTGAACCAACCATTAAAATAGAGATCGAACAAAGTAAGTAGCATCTCAGAACGTTGGATTAGGAAATACTTGTATTGGAGAATGTTTTAAGGAGTATGATGTGAAAGATTAGAAACAAAAGGAGTTAATTTGATTGATGAAAGGCATGTAGACTCGATGTATGCTCGATTTTTATGAATTAAACTCGAAACTAAACGAATTGGAAAATATGACAAGATATGCATGATATGCTTATGTTATCATACGAGGATAATCATTGGTTGGCCAACTAACCTCTAATCGTGAATTAACAAGACTAAGGATCTATATAACATATTTAGAGATGATTATAATGACTTGTATTTTATGGGGACTAATAGGGATTTATCACTTAATTCCTCACAGTGAACTTGCCCTGATATACAAGGGTCCATACTAATAGCGGGTAGAATTAGAGTTGACTTACTAGAACCATATGAGAGCGGGTATCCAACCACTTTCTAATCGTGATATTGTTTGGATAAGAGTAAGAGATTCCATAGGTAAATGATTTTTAGGTTATGAAGCCTACTAAGGAGATGCCAATTAAACCCAACTAGAGATTTTGATAACAGTTTTCATAACAATATGATGAGAATTATGAATTGAAACTTGTGATGTGATCGAGCCTCGAGTACTTATGACGTGTAAGTTGTTGATAATGAGAGAGACTAGTAGATAGCTAATCAATATACCTTAGAATCCCGATATCAAATTTATGAGATAGTTAGCTCAAAAGAGCTTAATCTAAAAATTCCAAATGCTTTGTATTTGTCACTTTCTTATCATTCATTTTCATATTCATAATTCAAAAAATTAATTCTATTTAGAATCCATGTTACGTCTAATATGTCGTCTTTTACAATATCTTTCATATCTGACGTCTCATATCTTGTCAAATTAGTTTATTTTTTGTTCAATAAACACGTCACGTCTTCCATCTTGAAATGAGTCTTATGAATAGAGGTATACACAGATTAGGTTAAGTTAGGTTAGGTTAGGTTAAGTTGGACTCGGTTGAATTGGGTTCGGTTGAAGAAGTTTTAGGGACTAATAAGAAATTTTAGGTTGGGTTGGAGAAATCTTATGGATCAACCCAAGATTTTGGGTCGGTCTGGTTGACAGCCCGAACAATTTGAATAGAGTTAACAATCTAACTTAGGTTTTTTTAAAGTTATTTTTTAAAAAAAAATCTACTTATCCATAATACATGTTACATTAATAACTAAAATATTATAAAGTTCAAATATCAAACATTTACAAGTCACAACGCACCACCAACATCAATTACAAATATCAAATATTCTTAATTTTCAACATAATCTTAAAAGTAGGATAAGATTGCGATGAGTTATAACCCTATTTTCGACCCTATCAACCCACGAACCAACCTAAATTTCTAATTTTTCAAAAATTCAATCCAACCCAATTTTTTTTTTTTTAAAAAAATCTAACTCGACCCAAATTTTATGATTTGAGTTGAATAGTTCAGGTTGGTTGGATTGTTGATCATATAAATACCAGAAATCTTATGCCTATTGTATTATGCTCCGATTACCATTATTATATCATAAAGTTCATTAACACGTGCTAAGAACAAAAATTAGATATTGAATTTTCTTAGATGGTAAAGGGTTAAATGTTTCTTTTTTCTAGTTAACATTTATTAGATATTCAAATTAGATGTAAGAATGACGAAAAGATGAGGTGCATTATTATTCTATTCATATTTAGAATAAAAAATAATTTAATTATATTGTTTTACGGAGTGACTTGAGTTTAGTCCACGACCAAGGTCGTTAAAAGAAAAAAAACATCATAATTATTTAAAAACAAATAATTTAAATAAAAATAATGGAAAAGATTTTGAGGGGTAGAGCCAAAACAAAGACATAATGGGGTGAGGCATGTGAGATTAAATTATGCATCATGATATCTTTATTATATGGTTGATAAAACTATATAATAAAATTCATTTTCATTTTTTAGGTGTATAAATGGGACAAAAAAAATAAAAAAATTTTAAAAAGATGAAAATGTTGAAGAAAGTAGAAGCAGAAGTGGGGTCCACACGGTTTTAATAATGATGATAGCATTTTCATTTTGGTTGAAAATAAGGCTTTATCCACGTGGCTGCTCTTGTTTTATTTAATATGCTTTAAAGCCTAATTAATTTTGAATTGTGAATGGTAAACAGCAGGCTGTGGGCCCACACGTCACTTTCTTTCATTGGGCTTTATATGTTACAGCCCAAAATAGGAAAGCCCAACAAACATGGACTCTAGGCTATAACCTTTTATCCATCTTAGCTCCCGTCACAATGTCGATGTCGATACGTGAGTGTGAGTATCTTATACAATTAGTTTGTATAAATTCGCTAATTGAGAATATTAATATTTCTTCGATCGTAATACTACATAAGTTATGAACATCTATGTATAAAGACTTGTTCTATGATTTGCATGGTTGAGAATAGTTTTTGTAGTCGATTTAATATGCCTACGAAGAAGTCAAAGATATAAATTTACGATATGAAATTCACTCATTTTCATATAGGGTTAGCAAATGAGGAGTTCCCTGCATATTTCGAGACTTAATGAGGTCCCGCTCTATCATTAGTTGCAGAGACTTAATGTTGGTCTGTTGGGCATGTGAGATTTTTCGATTGATAGATTGCAGAAGGAGAAGGGTATTATTGAATTTTTTTGAAAATTTAATAATATTTTTAAGATAAAGTACAAATAGCGGAAAAGGTTTATCTAATTTGCCATGCATACCACATGTATGTGGTTGATTAAGGTACTTTATAACCACAAATTAAGGAATAATCATCGTTACGTAGGAAAGTCAAATAGACTCATTGCTTAACAAATTGGCTTAGATTGACACGATAAGTATCACAATCGCCCTTTTTTGGCAGCGGATTTAGTGATTGTGCAGCATTCACTCTCAGCACTAAGTGAGTCAAGCCAACTTCGGACCATGGTGCCTACAGTTGGGCAACGTGCGTTCAACCTCCAGTCCCGTTTTGAAGAGACAAGCATGACCGTGACAATGAGCATGCCCATGGTTCCTTAATTTGCCCCAAGAATGTGAGATCCAAATAGCCCAACTCAAATCTTTAGCCCTTTAAATTTTACTCATTAGAAATCCTCCATTAACTTTCTTCTATATTAAGTCATGCATGTGCAAATATGTCATTCCGATGTCACTTAGTCTATACACGATCTAACAATTTATTGTCAGATCCTACGTTTGTTGGAGAGGAAAATGTATAAGATTGTGAAAACCTTTCCTTAGTAAACACATTTTAAAATCATGAGGCTGACACTGATAGGATATAGGTCAATGCGGACAATATCTACTAACAGTAGATTTGAACTGTTACAAATGCTATTAGAGCCAGGTTACTGAGCGATGTGCCAATGAGAACGCTGGACCCCAAAGTGGGTGGATTGTGAGATCTCATATTAGTTGGGGAGGGAAATGTATAAGAGACCTGTCATTAGTAGACGCGGTTTAAAACTGTAAGGCTAACGTGATACGCAACGGACCAAATCAGATAATATCTGCTAACGGTGGGCTTAAGCTATAACATTCATATATTTACATTTTCATACCGTCTTTCTTAACCTTATTTTATAATCCTTCGTTCTTAGTCTCAAATTAATTAATTTCGATAAAGAAATAAAAACTTCAATTTTAATTTTCAAAACTTCCTTAAAAAAAAAGATAAAAAAAAAAAAAGAATATTTATGGACGAAACAATATATTATAAACTTAATTTTAAAAAAGTCATTAATTTTATTTATTTATTTTGTAATAAAAAATAGTTTTTATTTTTAAAATTTAGGTAAGAATTTAAATATTATAAATATAATGAATTAGAAAATAATATAATTTTAAAACTTAAACTGGCACATTCCAGTTTTAAAAAATGAAGGACAGCTATGATCTTACCCGTACGGATTGTTAAATTGAAAATAATTGAATTTAATAACACGTGGCTCTTTTCTTGTGCTTTCCGTACTTATCCATAACCAATTATTTATAATTTTAGCATTTTTTTTCTTCTTATTAATAGAATAGTTTATGTCGGTCATAATTTTATTCTAGTATTTTATGCTATTAATTTTTAAAAAATAAATTATCTAACTAGAGTAGCTTTTTAAACAAATTAGAAATAAAATATATACCAAAATTCGTTAAATTATTGATATTTATGAATCGAGTTTAGGTTCAATTTGGTTCCCGTGTTGGTGTGTATAGTCAATAAAATTGGTTACTGTGGTTTACTAGATTGGCAGGAAAGCGTTCCATCTTGGAGGGAAGTACTTATGTGAATAGTGGTAGAAAAAACGGAAGTATAATCACTCGTTGAAAGTGTAAATAGAGGTCGTAAATGGTGTGAATCTGAGAAACAATTTTTTTTTTCGTGGAGGGAACTAAGAAGCAATAAAAAAAAATCTAGTGAAATTTAAACGTTATCATGATGATTGTATTGGTTAGTGTGTTTAGTTAATATCACCGTGATACCCGAATCAATTCCACTTCACTACCATGTAGTGCTATAACTACATTGTTGTTAATATGGTTTTAGAGTAATGTCCTTAATTTAGAGAATTTTTAAGTGTCTAATCAAAAATGTTATGAGTCTCGATTGTAGTCAAATGTGGATTCAAGTGTCGAACGAGGGATGTACTTTGTTCAAGATCTCCAGAGAAGGAGTCAAGAATGAGGTCTTAGGGAATGCTCTATAGTGTAATTTGATCGAGAGGGGATTGTTGAGGATCATTGGTGTAACACCCAAACTCACCGCTAGCAGATATTGTTCACTTTGCTTGTTACGTATCTCCATCAGCCTCACGATTTTAAAACGCTTCTGCTAGGGAGAAGTCTTCACACCCTCATAAGAAATGTTTCGCTCCCCTCTCCAATTGATGTGAGATCCTACCATCCACTCTCTTGGGGGCCAGCGTTCTCACTGGCATACCATCTAGTGTCTGGCTCTAATACTAATTAGGGGCATTACAATTGGGAAGTGTAGTCTCACATTAGCTAATGAAGAAGCAAATCATGGGTTTATAAGTAAGGAACACCATCTACATTAGTATAAGGCCTTTCAAAAAAAATAAAAAATGAAGGCATGAGAGCTTATGCTTAAACGAGACAAAATATCATACTATTTATGGAAGTGCCTGATTCCTAACATAGTATCAGAGCGATATCTCTCCTAGTAAGATGCAGTTAAGAGACAAACCAACACGGAAGCTAGTGTCCATGTGATACCCGAGTAAATGAAGAGATACATATGAATGACAGAGACCACTTCTAAATGAGAGCGATCCTTAGGTATGTTAGACCACTTCACTCTTAAAACCGAGAGGTAAGTAGCAAGATCAAGTCACAAATGGTATACGAGATCCAAATCTCGGGCGTGAACGTTACAATCACACATTAGGTATGTAAGCTCTTATTTAATATTTGTGTTTAAATCAATTACTCCGTAATTATAGCTCTGGAGGCAGCATTATAATTTGAAGTATTTTAGTCAATTAGTGATTTAGTATATTAAAATATAATGTTTTTTTTTTTTATTTCTTCAAGAACAAAGGTGATTACAAAGCCTTGTCATTTCCATCAATACACAAAATTTTCAATTAGGACAAAAAAGTGGACTAATTACAATTATTTGCCAAAAGTCAGCTCTACATTTGGGGATCATCTTAATTTCTGACCGTCCATCTTCCTAACTTAGTTTAATCCTAAATAACAAATTAGTCAATAACATACCAATAATTGAACCTTAAAAAAATTTTAATTTTGTTTAAAGGTTTAATTATAAACTTAATCTTCCTCCCCAAATTATTTTTAATTTTAAAATATTTCAATTATGTTAGATGGACTTTGAAATTAAGTGTACGTTCCTACTTGCCGTTAACGATGACTAATAAAATAGCGAAAAGCCACTCGCTAATTGCCCTTTATCGATGTTTTAATTCAATTATTGAGTTAGAATAAAAAACCCGTAACTTCAAACTAAACAATACCTACTCGAGATTGAGCTCGACTCGATAGAATGTAACGCTCAGAATGAGAACAATAATTGAGTAATTTAAGTGAGAAAAAAAAAAGTTTATATTCATATCTAGGATTATTTTGAATCAAATGTAGAATGGTTGGTCATATAATTTGCTTAATATGAACTTCAAATGTGAGATCCCACGTCGGTTGGAGAGGGGAACGAAACATTCGTTGTAAGAGCGTGAAAACCTTTCTCTAGTAGACATGTTTTAAAAACTATGAGACTGATGACAATACATAACGCGCTAGCGACATACTTGGACGGTATGCCTGTAAGGATGCTGAGATTCCAAGAGGGTGGATTGTGAGATCCCACATGAGCTGGAGAGGGAGAATGAAACATTGCTTATACGGGTGTGGAAACCTCTCCTGAGTACACATGTTTTAGAAACTGTGAGGTTGACGAGGATATGTAACGGGTCAAAACGGACACCAAATATCCTCGGTAGAAAGTCATCTTTTGATGCTACAATTTTATATTCATATTTTTATTGGCTTCATCATGTTGATAGTGAGCTAATCCATTTGCTTCTTGAATTATTTATTGAAGTTTTGATATTGTTCGTACACATAAAAAATGAATTGCCCACAACCAATTTGTACCCTATAGATGGCATTGTTATTAAAATATGTATAGGCTTATGGCCTTGGCTTTTGTGAACCGTACTTATCCTATGCTTGGGGGAATTTTGTCATCACTCATCCTTACAATTAGGTCACAAACATAAATTAATATCAACTATGGGCCATAGCATCGAACTATATAATAAAAAAAAATCTTTACTCGGGTAAAATTTGATCATATCAGTTCTGAAATTTAGTTCATGCGTTCATAAAGTCCTTCAAAATAGTAATTTGAGGTAGGTTTTTTCCTCCCTTATCAAAAGTGGGTTAAATTCTCCACAAATTTTTACAAATATAATGTAGATTTTATAGCAAATTAATTTCAACTCATTGATGAATAATCGATCTTATAACATTTTCCTACGATTGACCTTTATTTATCAAACTGTTTCAAACATGTAGAATTTAAAAAGGTGAGAAATGTAGGAAACGTTTCTTTAAATTCAACTTATATCCAATAGCAATTTATAGTCGTCTATTATAATATTTTTGACGAGAAAAAAAATAGTACAAAGAACTCTAAGGGTTCACGAAAGGGTAAGATAGGGTGCATAAAATATAGTTTATGTCTCCAACAGGGTTGCAAGTTTATGTAGAAAAAGGATGATACAAAGTTGACCTTATAAAAACAAAGAGGTTATCATCCTAATCATCCCAAGCTGTGTTGGATTAAGAAGGTTGATATTATATTTGGAGCCAAATGAGGTCAGCCAAAGCATAATAATATTAAATTATTGTGCATTGGGAGTTTGATTGAAGAATTAGAATTGGAGAAAGTAGGGGACAATAACTTCACACCACATTGGCACTTCATTGACTTGGAATATGCAATATAGTTGAACATGTGGGAATAATCAGTTGGTTTGGAGGTTGGACAACTCAAGTTGAATCATTAATGTTTGATATGACGTGAATAATAAATGGTCATAATGTTATAGAGGAAGGGAGTGGAGACAGATTTTTCTGTGTTAGCTAAATGGGATCAGAGATGGAGAATTCTCGATCTGTCTTTGTTCCAATCGCTTGTTAATATATGGAGTCCAATAAACATATCTTGAGTCGGTAGAGAAATGAAATCCCTACTAGAGACAAGAGATTCATATAAGAAAACATAATTAAACACGCCTCTGCTTCAGACTCCAACGATAAAGATAGAAGAACAGCCATTTGATTCCCATCAATATATTTTAAATAAAAGTAATGAACAATTTTAAGATTAGTTCATAAATTTAGCGTCTAAGATAAAATAAATTTGGTCAAAATTAAGGATCAGTTTAAAATAAAATTAGGGTTTTATATCTTCGTAAAAAAATGCTATCTCTTGAGTTAGAGTTCCCCATTAGTCAAATGTCCAAAATGAAGCCAACCAGCTATCAACTCGGGTTAAGTGATGTCCTTCAATTATTGTGATAATGTGACTTCCAAACAAAGGAGTAACACACACGAATGAATTGAAACCATATTTGAATAAGAGCAATCTTCGTAATAGAATGATTAAGAATGATTTAAAAGAATTGAAACTCACTACTTATATGAACAAGGTGCATCTCCAATTTTTTCGATAGCTCGATTATAGAAATTCATAGTTAAACGTATTTTATTTAGAATGATTGAAAATGATCTCTTACAATATTTTTTTTAAGAACTCAGGTAAGTGGTTGGGTACTTTAATTTTATGTAATCCTTTGGGATATACGATGGGACTTTTCACTGTTTAAACCCCAAGATGCGGCGAAACTTGATTCATCATATCATACTTTTGTTTTAACTTCAATTTCTC